TGTAATTAAAAATCATAAATATACTAAATATATTTACTGGAAGTGTGATGAGATGATTAAAGCTGTTAATTTTATCCTTGACAATATTTATGTGCGTTTCGGAAATAGAGTTTATCGATAGGTTGTATGTATTCCTATGAGTATTTTACTTTTTCCTATGGGTACCAATTGCGCCTTTTTAATTGTAGTCTTGTTACTGTATTGTTATGAATCACAGTTTACGATCAAACTCAGTATATAATAGTGGAGTGACAGATCAAGAAAAAGGTGCTTATTTTACGACTTTAATGGACCGGCATACCTGTAGGCTAAAAACGATTTTTTTGCAAAGCCAATACCTTAAGCTAACTTTTTTGCCCGTTCGTAGACATTTCATGCGGTGCAGTTTTTTATAAAATGGAAAGAAAAAAGACATTTGGATTTTTTTTCAAATTTCAAGATGGGAAAAAATTTGAATTTTGTTAATTTTTTTTTGTCTTTTGACATATGATTATGCATTTTATACAGAGTTTAATTGTTTATTCATAACGTAAAACTAGAATTCCTTATTTTTTTTCTAAATTTTGTCCATTTTCACTCAGTTTAGCGAAAGCACACTCTGTATCATTTTAAGAAGTGGTTACAACATTTGTAAATTTAGATTACATTGATAATTTCATGATTTTCCGAATTAAAATGTTTTAAACTTCCTATTGTAAAGTTCCGAAGTCATTCCAAGTCAGTATTTCTTATAAATTAATTTTAATGAAGATTTTTAACTTTGCATTATAGTTCAATGAATATGATATGGACCTCCTCTTGATTCTGATGCTCATTGAAAGATTGTAGTAATGTTTCTAAACTTCCTGTCGACAAACTGCGAAAAGTACTGGCAATAACAAAATGCATACTTGCTTTAAACATATACCTGTTAACCCCATTTCATCTTGCTTTGGCATTACAATTACACCATGAGTTTGGCTCTGAAAAATTTATTGAAAATCCAAACTCTCATGGTTTTTGTGCATCCTATTCTGAAGTACGTAGATATCGGAATAGTTTAGCAAATTTGGAAATAGACAGCATCCAAGACATGTCCTATGTACCTAATGGTATTGCTGTATTTAGAAAAAGGTGGTCGTATTATACAGGAGAGAGCAGAAAATATTGACTTAAATGCTGAAACAATCGATGGTAAAAATACATTTCGCTCCATGGCTAGAGTTGTATTTCAGTATCAGAACGAATCATCAAACGCCCACATGAGTTCCATAAAGGTTAAACGGGGACTAGAAAGATCTTTGACGTTGAATGATTCGAATACCAATCTTATGGCATGTTTACCTTTCTTTCGACAAGCCAACAGAACGGTATGGACCTCCTCGTTATTATAATGTTTATGGGAAGATTGTGTATTGTTTCATCGAAAACCGAGATAAATCTGTCCTGTCTTTGGTATTTACAACTATGAAACAATGTTTAGATATGTCAAAACGTGCTGGTCAACAATATGCTGTGCAAACATTTGACAATCAATTGTATGCTGATGCCCAAATGTAAAATAGTCTATTCCAGGCGTGTTCGAGGATGAACTTTGGTATATGAGGCTAGCTTTCAATCTTCCAAGTTATGATAATATTTATCAAAGGTACCAGGCTTATAGTTGATACGCCAGACGCGCGTTTCTTCTACATAAGACTCATCAGTGATGTTCAGATCAAAATAGTTAGAAAGCCAAACAAGTATAAAGTTGAAGAGCATTGAGGACAAAAATTACAAAAAGTTGTGCCAAATGAGAAAAGTCTTCAAACGGGAGATTAGGAATCGCCGTAAACATTGGAAGTGCATTTATCGCCTCATTGTATGATCCGAAGGGAAAGTTCATGTATCTTCATGATGATCTAAACAAGCTAAGGTTGGAGTTTGCCGCCACAAAGGATGCCAGTCTTTTGAAAATTCCCCCATGTAAAAACACGTTTCTACAGCACATCCCACGTGCAATGCTTCAAACGCAAGTTTGGATAAACTCTCATATTGCTAAACCAGTGATCATACTTTCCAAAGACTCTGGTTGGTAAGAGGGTAAACACGGTTTGCTCTCGGTTTTCTTTGAGGGACATATGTCAGTAGATTTCATTCAAGACCTTGTTTGTACGTATACGGACAAGGGAAAACAGCTTGCAATAACAACTGTGTATGCAACCAACAGAAATCCGCGTATACCAATACTTGTTCATGTGAAGGGTCTGATGGTTGTAGAAATTATTTAACTCACCGAGCAATATTGGAAGAAAACGACGATGAAAACGATGACTGATGTCAGGTTTTCGAAAGTTGTCATGCCCTTTGTTTGTTAAAATACCCCATACAACCACTCTTTCTAAGGGGTTCATGTGTGCTTTTGTAACGCAAAGGCACATAAAACCTAAAAAGTTCATAGAGCTAGAATATATGCTGAAACTTTAGTCCATCATTAAACTTATTTGATTTAATTTCCTTGTGAAATATTTGTGACTGGCAATAAATATACATCAAAGCAAAATCCAAATTGACTTCGATTCTTTTTATAAATGCCGTAAAATTCAGAAATATATCTTTAGAAGTACATGCGATGTAAAAAAAAAATAATTGAGATTCCGTTGTTCCCGGGCATCTTCTATTTTGTTGCTAGTCTGAATTCCCTTTAAAATGTGCATTTAGTGGTTTCATTATTTTCAAATTAAGTTGAAAATGTAGTGTCACAGTTTACTTCATTATGAATTTCTTGTTTAGTAACAATTCAGATATTTTTTGGAGACTTTTTATAACCTCTTGTGAAATAAATTGACAATAGTGAAAAACTCAATCATTAACCTTTGACCTTATTTAAAAAAAAATTGCACCATATTTCAATTCTACGACCAGGCAAAAATTAAAGAATAAACATTTCTCTTTCCAAAAAGTCATAATTTAGCCTGCAGGTAGGGTGGTCCATTAAAGTTGAAAAATTGTTGGCTTGGTCACTCCACTATAAAGATCCGTCTTAATTCTATTTTATTGATAAATTCAACAATATTTACCGTTATCTTGGTGATATTTTTACCTTAAATAATCAAGAATTCTCGAAATATACTGCCAAAATTTAACCAAAGGATCTTACTGCAATTGAATAAAATATAAACAGCGATAATTGTCCTTTTGTAGATTTAGATATTTCAGTTTTACACGGGAAACACCACACAAAAATTTACGACGAAAAAGACGATTTTTCGTTCCCTACTGCTTATTTTCCATTTTTGGACGATGATGTTCCTTTGTTACCATCTTATGGTGTTTATATTATCCATCTAGTTCGCTCTAGCCGTCCCCGTAGTCACTGTGACGTGTTGGATTTCAGTACGTGACGTAATCTATGTATTATTGGTAAATTATTAGGTCAAAGAGTTGATGACCACAAATTACTTAAAACCTTTACTGAATTCTTTCATGGATACAAAGATTTAGTTGGGAAATGTGGCCGTACCTGAAGAAAAATTTCTTAACAAACAGGAAATCACATCCATGTGGCCGAGCCCGTGAATTTACGATCCGGATAAACTTGTCGATCCTTTAGATAAATTTATTTTAAAATGTTACCAAAGCACCACTGTTATTAGATCTTGGAATACTGCTTTTTCCCCGGCATAAATAATTATATTGATTTTGTTATCTATAAATTGAATTGTTAAATATTGTTGTTTAATACACATATGTACATGCATTTACGGTCTACAATCTGTCGATACCTATATTGTAGCATTGCACAATGTTATGTTTCTTCACTGTCTGTTAACGTCGTTCTTACCCTAAATCCATTGAAAGTTGGATGTGTTCTGATTGATATTTTAGTCTTAGATGCATGACATTCTGATTAGTTATTATTGGCTTTGAACTAGCTGTCAGTAACTGCGAGTACTCTCAGATCTGTACTTTGTGTCTTTTTTGTTTTTGTGAGAGTTTTTTTGTTGCTTTGTACTTTGTAGCTGTTCTCATATTGCCCTGTTACACAAGGACAGTCTATAGTAGTATAGAAAGTCCCTGTGTTACACCAGTCCTAGGTTAGGGGAGGGTTGGCGCGCACGCAAACATGTTTAACTCCGCCACATTATGTATGTGCCTTTCAAAAGTCAGGAGCATGTGTATCTGTGTGCAGCACTGCTGTATCTGCAGATATGTGTATATATGTCTCTGGTGTCTGTAATAACATAAAAAAAATGCCCTGAAATGACCGAAGTATGCTCACGGCGGGATATATATATTTTTTTATTTGATAACAACGCTCTTTTACGGTCAGTCTCCTTCAGATCAATTACTATTTATTGTTGTAGGCGGAATAATGGCATAACGACTAGATTATTGCTAGGTTTACGTAACCAAGGCCTCATTAAATTCTGCATTAGTGTTATTGTTCTGTGTTTGACAATCGTGGTTGTTGTTTAAACTAGCTTTGATGTGAATTCTGCATGTAGTTAGCATGTATTAAGCTTGGTATGAGTTAAAACAATGAAGGTTAAAAATGTTATTGTTGTTGAGTTTAATAGCGGTTTGGTATCTTAACATTAAAAAAATATTCAACACAAAAAACCCTTTTTAGAAAGTCACTTTATTTTGAAACAATGAAAAAAAATATATAGCAATACACTAACCAAAACACGATTAACAAATATTCAACACAAAAACCGTCACTTTATTTTGAAACAATGAAAAAAAACCGGCACAGTAAAAAAAACTTATGTATAGCAATACAATAACCAAAACACGATTTAAAAATTATTCAACGCAAAAATCGTTTTAAGAAAGTCGCTTCATTTTGAAACAATGAACAAAAAAAGACATTTATAGCAATACACTGTCAAAATACGATTGAAAAATTATTCAACACAAAACCAATAAAAAGGGTGCGGACGTGTAGGGTGCGAACGTGAAAGGGGCGAACGTGAATGGGAGCGAACGGACCAGGATTTAGCCTGGTATCCTGACCTAATCTAATACTTCGTCAAGTAGTAAGCCAGGATCCCAAGCTACCCCGGATTCTTATATTTGCCCAGTTTTGATATTACCTCCCCTACTTTACTTCTTTTACGTATGATTCATTGCAAGAAAATGAAAGAAGAAAGTCCCCAAACTGAAACATCGATCAGGAAAAGATTGGGTAAGCTTAAAAGGACAGATGACTTTAAACAAGACATTTTTGTCTTCCTTGTTTCAAATTAACAGTTGTTGTTGTGTCAGTGAATCATAATATATGAAAGTGACATTGGCCATGGAGCGGAAAATTGTCAACAGTAGCGAAGAATGGACTTTCCATATCATGATATTTACAGTACCGTATATTAACTATAATTTCCCATTAGTGACGTGCTGGGTTTTACTTATGAGGGTCCAATAACCACGGTTCCGTTCGCACTAGTTAAAATTATACCAATAGTTGTATATTTACTTTACATTTATTTTGTACTTATTTACTTTTCAAGGTTTGATTGATATTAACTAAAATAAACAAAAAATAACATTACATAGAAGTTTCATACCATTCCATAATTTTGGTTGGCTGAGGTATTCCAAAAGTTATATTTTATTTTCATATACAATACAACATCTATGACATGTATGACAGATCATTCTCTTTGAGACGCAGTATATTGCAAAGAAAAAGATATACTCATAATATCATGATTGTAGCATACAAAATGTTTTTCATTGTACCCCAATATAATTACAAAATAGAAACATTCAAGTCTCAAAACAAATACTATTTCAGAAAATGAATCAGGTTATACTGATTTTGCAGTTTAATAGACTATTTTCATATTACCGACTTTTGACTCCGGATTATATAATTTGTCGACTGGTTGCCTTGGACATCATGGTACCAAGTCAGGTAAGAGCAAGCTAAAGAAGTTAAACCAAGCATTCAATCGGTACAACTTCGGGGGAATATTACCTGCTTAACATTTTTTTTCACTACAAAATCATCGGAAAACAGTAAACTTTCCCCTCAATTTACACCGATTATATGTTTGATTTTACTTATTTTGGTTGCTCTTACTTGACCGAGTACCATGATGTCCAAGGTTACCAGTCAACAAATTATATAATCCGGAGTCAAAAGTCGGTAATATGAAAATAGTCTATTGAAAAACAAAGGATATGTACCCATCAGTAACACAAAATCAGTACATGCAGAGCAAAAAACACACAAAAAGTAAAGGATGTTACAAACTGCAACTATGAATCTGAGTTTCCACCAATTACCATTCACACCAAGAGTCATTTCCCCTGATACTTGTTCCCCCCTGGGTCATTTTGTCCTGATTTGATAATAAATAGTTTTTATCAAGAATGTAAAACAATCAGTTTTTATGTGTATTTGGCCAGGAATAACAACAACAATACTTTATTTTAATAGGGTTACCCAGTTAGCTATATAACTAATCTTCCCTGAGGCCCTCATCATAGAAAAGCATAAACAAAAAATTGTTGAAAAACAAAATTGCAAACTTATACATGGCATACATTAGTATTAAAGTTAAGTATAATGATATTGTTCATCACGACTGCATATAATGTTATGAAAAAATAATCATGATGACATAATAAATATTTAATATTTTTTCAATTGATTGATTTCAATAAAATGTCTGTTATTTTATATTTGAAAAAATGAATATTTGTAATATTTCTTAACGATAAAGGCAAATTGTTCCACAAGGATGGTCCAGAATACATAAAAGATTTCTTTCATTCAAACAATTCGCTTTTTTGGTTTCAGGAGTATGAGGTTTCTTTGAACAGCATTCCTAAAAGGGTATGGATTTCTGTCTGAAACAGAATAAAACTTGCTTGCTAAGATATGACGGAGCTTCATTTTTGATGCACTTAAATGTCATCACAAATTTGTGATATTTATTCTTTGTTCCACTGTCATCCATTTTAAGTGTTTGAATGAGGGTGCAGAAGGAGCGAAAGGGTCTTTTTCTACTAGTATTATTCTAGCAGCTCTCTTTTTTAATTTTAAGATCCTTAATTTGGCCTGTTGATACAATTTGTAATGTATTTTTGTTATTTAATGTTTACTTGTTTAGAGTTATATCTAGTCTCACTATTTTTAATATATACCACCTTTTGATAAGTGTTTAGTATGACGATAAGTTTTCACTTTTGTTCTCGTACTAGGAACAACAAAATTATTTATTTTGTAAAAAATTAATTCCTTACTCCATGTTTACCTTACAACAAAATTATTTTTATTTACCTGTGTACATTATTTTATTTGGCGGCGTTTTGTCCAAGGTTATGGTTGTTTTTATGCCCCCGTCGTAGTGGAGGGGGCATTAATTTAACCCTTGTCGGTCTGTACGTCCGTACGTCCCAAAATTGGTTTCCGTTCTCTAACTTAAGTTTGCCTCAAACAAATGTTATGAAACTTATACACTATGCTTCTTACCACAAAACTCAGATCAAGTACAGATTTGGGTAGCATCACTTTTACAGTTCTTGAGTTATTTCCTTTTATAACGTTATATGCAAGCAGGGCATCATCTGTGTCCCATGGACACATTCCACATTTATTTTAATCCTTAATAGTAGATATAGCCTAAATGAAATTTTTGAGTAGATCAAATCAATTTGGTTTGTCCAGGTGAGGGAAGGGTCAATTTTAATGCCTAATAGACTTTCACATTTGGGTGGTTGTACCACTTGATTGTTAACAGTTAAACTACTTTCACTGTAATGTGGCATTACTTTTTGGTTTGTTTATTTGGAATAATGTAAATGAATAAAAATTGAACCCCTTCAGCAAAATATGATGACCAACTGGTATGTGTGTTGTTGTGGCTTGCACAGTTTATTACATTTATATGACTGGACAATGTACTAACTTGAAACTGAGAGGAGGGGGGCACAGTCTTTGAAAAGGGGTATTTTTGAGCTGCAATCTTTTTTACAACAGGTTTTTCATGTACATTGACAAATACAGATAGCCTCTTTATATAAAAATAAGAAGATGTGGTATGATTTCCAATGAGACAACTCAGTTGAAAAAGGCTTAACTCATCAGATGGATACAAATAGAAATACATGTAACAAAAACACAGAGTGGACGTGGCAGGGTACTTATACATCCCCACAACAAAGACACTAAGTACAGATCTGAGGGTACTCGCAGTTACTGACAGCTAGTTCAAAGCCAATAACAACTAATAAAAAAAATCATGCATCTAAGACTTAAATATCAATCAGTACACATCTAACATTTAGTATAAAGACATCATTAACAGTCAGAGAAAAACATGACCTTGTGTAATGCCAAGATACAGGTATCGACAGATTGAAGAGCCATGAATGTGCATATGTATATAAAATAATATTAAGTTTGATTTTAATTTACCAATAACAAAAATCAATATTAATACCAATAAAAAAAATATTCAAATTTCTAATTACAGTGTTGAATAGACGTATTTACACTTGTATGCAAATTTGTCTGCCATTACTTAAAATCACACAAGTTCCAGTAAAATTTGACATCACAATTTTAAAAAATTTGACGTCATAGTTAAAAAATGATTGTTGCTTGACGTCAGAAGGTTATTCGGAGACAAATCTAAGGTCATTGGGAAACAAAATTCAGCTATATACCAAAAGTGTAAATACGTTTATTGGTAACCTTTTAGAATAAGTTTATTTAAAGGATCGATAAGTTTACCCGGATCGTTTCTAAATTTCCGGGCTCAGTAAACAACATCTCCATAAAAAGTAGGATGTGCTATCTCGTTTGAAATAAGTTTTCTACAGGTACGACCAAACTTCAAAACCAAATCTTTATATCTATGGAAGAATTTAGTAAAGGTTTTAAGTAATTTGTGGTAACGAAATCCCTGACTTAATAATTTACCAGTAATATATGGATTACGTTCATCATGTTCATTGAAATCCAAAATGTCACAACAGACACATAGGGCATAGCAAACTAGTTGTGATATATTAACACTGTAAGATTGTGCCAAAGGAACATCACCGTCCAAAAAAGGAAAATTAACAATAGGGAACGAAAAATTGTCCCTTTTGTTGTAAATTTTAGTGTAGAGTTTCTCGTGTAAAACTGAAATATCTTAATCTAGAAAAGGACAGTTATTACCGTTTACCTGCATAGTCATAAATATTAAGATGTGACATACATTTTAAAGAGACAACCACAAACAAAGTTTATGGCTTGTTTATATGTTTAGAGGCCAAGGTAAGTGTACATGACAAAGCTTCTTGTTGATCACAGTGGTACTTTCTGAAAGAAAAAAAAGGCTTATTATTTAAATGCATATTTAACTTTCATATATATATTTCAGTTACACAATACAATAATCTACATGATACACAATAAATAAGAGCACACACAATGGCTGATATGCAGGCTGTCCAGCAAGCCTACATACTGGCTCTCAAAGGGGGAGATGAAGATACAGCTTTGTATTTACAGACACTTATACATGCAGACTGTCAGCTGGCACTGAAGTACATGACAATCAACATGGAAAGTTTAATTGAGCTTAATAGTCAGGTAAATGTAAAATTGTATACAAGAGAAACTTGCAATGCTATCCTTAGCATATCATTTTTTTGTTTTAAATCTGTAGATTTTTCGGAATCAGTAATGATAACAGATTATGACATGGCAGAACCCACTAAAATTTTGGGAGGAATCCTTATCCTCCAAAAAATATTATTATAAACAAGTTTTTTTGTATGAATAGTTTTATTCTAAGCTCCACATTTTCCTAGAAGTACTTTTATAACCTAAAATAAACAAAAAGACTCATTTTTGGAGGAAATTGGCACTTTAAAAAAAATACTTAAACAAAAATGAGAAATTCATGACATTAGTGTTATAGAATATGAAGTGGAAAATTTATACAGGAGTAATATAATGTCACTTAAGGTGGTACATAACACTACAGGGAGATAACTCTGTAAAAATCAGCTGAACATTTTAATCAATTTCTATTGTTAAGAAAATATTAAGTTTCTTAATGATCAAAAGTAGTGTTTGTCAAACTGCTATATATCTAATGAAATTTTCCGATGAAGTGTGTGGTTCAAGTTTTTTGAAATTTTTATATTTTTGTCAAAGGGTCGAAGTAAATATTTTGTCAAAATATTATGAAAATTAAACAAGCCAAATTAATTTTAGTCAAGGTGTTTGGTACCACCTTAAAGTTTCAGAATTAAATAAATCTTCCAAGAGTGGTAAAGTGAATCAGCAGAATCGCATGTTTATTTAACAATAATTTATCTGTGTGTTGCCTACATTCACTTCTGTCAAATGGTACATGCAATTCACCTTTTTCTCTTTCACAATGGATTTAATCTGCTAAAACCTGTGAAGCAGCTAGATATTTAAAGCAATATATTCAGAGGTAAAACAGTGGATTCTTGTGTTAAAAATTTAATTTTTTTAGATGTATATTAACTACAATTGAATTTATATTTGACTAACTGGACCTGCAGTACTCAACTGTATACAAACTTATTTTTTCCCAGAATGTTGATCAGCTGACTAGAATCACCATAGCATTGAGTATCTTGGAAAAATATACTAGACACTTGCTCAAACCTGAAGAAAGTAGGTCAAACATGTGGAAGTATGTCAAGTTTTCTAACCAGATCTTCAAAGACAGGGTTGATGCTATACAGGTAAGGTCAGCTTATTCATTCATTTCTTTAATTTTTTTTTTGATTTAGATGCAGTAAAAGTGGTTTTTATATGACCACAGCAAGGGTACAGAAACGGTCATATTTGCCAGACTTGACCGAATCTGAAATTTAATTGTCCTCAACGAAAAATTGGGATTTTGGACAAATTTTATTTTTTTACAGAAATAATTGTGGTCATTTCTTTGAGATTGGGTTTCTATATCGCCATTTTGTACCGTCTTGTTTTTGTTTTGTTATCCCTTTTCTGGATTCTTGGACCACAGATCTAGTTAAGTCATATACTGGTACTGCACTTATCAAGTTATTATACGTTTCGGACGCATGAAATTATTAAACATGTTGTTTTCTTTTTTTTACAGCACTAAGTTGATACCTCTGCTGGTAGACTATTAGTCCCCAAGGGTATCATCAGCTCAGTAGTCAGTACATGATTTATAACTAACCTTTCTAAAATTGTCCATTTATAAATTTTGAAATTATAAAGATTATAAGGTTTCAACTCCCTCAGCCAAAGTTGACCTTAGATGGATTTGGCTATTTTTTAGGTATTTTTTTGTCATATAGCTCTTCAACTGTTTTGGTTCTTATACATCTTTGGCTTTCAAACATTTAGCTTTGAGCGTTCCCGATGAAGGTAAATCCAGAAAAGCGTTTCGGACGAGTTGTTTTCATTTTTTATCAAGATACAGAGATATGCTTTCAAGGCATTATTAAATAAATTGCTTAAGATAAAACTTGAAATTAAGAATACCACAAAAACATTTGCTTGACACCCTTGATATTATTTTGGGGGTCTAACCTCACAGCTATTCTGATGGTGGATTTTGACAAAAATTATGCTGCTTTCAAGGATTGGCAATTGACAGAAAAGCTACTGTAATAATAAATGAACACATGCACACGCATACATTGATTTCTAAAAATTGACTTATGAAAGAAACAGTATTCCCAAAACTGATGGCCAAATAAAAGCAAGTTACTTATTTACCATTTATGTGTTCACCTTGCACATATTACCTTCCCACCTTCCGTTCGTCAATGTCCTGTTACACTACCTTTCTCATATCAGATTAAGGTCAGGAATCTGAGTAGGTATATTATCTCCCATTATATTCCCCTAGTGGTAGGATATGACTCTACATGTTGCAGTCTCCCAACATGGAATAAATAAGAAAGGGATATGTGAGCATTGTAGTAAAAAAGACACACTGTATATTATAGGGAGGAAGAGAATTAATGAAAATGATGGGCTATACCAAGGATATAAAGGATGGCCTGGCATTCCCTGATGATGGCAAAACAGATCCAGAGGTTCTGTTTCAAATGTTGGCTGATATATTGCTTGGTAAACAAGAACTTCAGTTGTTCCTTACAGGATCTCATCCACATAGCCAGTTTATTGACAAACTTCTTCCACAGAATACTTTGTAAGTACCTTACTGGATCTCATCTACATAGCCAGTGTATTGACAAACTTCTTCCACAGAATACTTTGTAAGTGCCTTACAGGATCTCATCTACATAGCCAGAGTATTGACAAACTTCTCTCACAGAATTCTTTGTAAGTACCTTACTGGATCTCATCCACATAGCCAGTGTATTGACAAACTTTCATAGCCAGTTCATTGATAAACTTCTCCTAGCGAGTGATTTATTTTCCAAACTTTCGCGAGTTGAAAAATAACGCGAATATAAATCTTCACGAATTTGTGAAACTTTTTTCTTCCTTTATATAAATACGTCAAAATAATTTAAAAATCGCGAAAATAAATCGCTACAAATTCGGCTACGAAGGGCTTAACGCCAAATAAAGTATCCGTGAAAATAAGTTGGTTTACAGTACTTTGTAAGTACCTCACAGGATCTCATCCAGACCTTATCTCAGAGATAAAAAATCACCATACAGAGATAAAAATGTAATAGAATAATGTTAGATTTGAAGAATTTTTCAGAATATTTTCATGAGTCAAAAATTCATATTAGCTTCCAAAACAGCTTGTTTATGGTAAGGTGTGTGTTAAAGTCTCACTTAAGACCGAAGAACTCTAAAGTCAACTTGAATTTCAAAAACAAATAAAGACTATTTGTCATAATTGTTCTTTGGTATTGAAATACTCTTGTGTCTCGGCCAACAAATTACCTATTTTTTTTGTATTAAATATTTAGCCTGGTATTGAGTCCTCATATCGTTCATTTGATTCCAATACCTTTTATAGAATATTATAATGTAACTTTTTCCTACTTGAATGCTCTATCTATCTCCAGAATAGAATTGAAGAGGTTTCGTAACAAACTGCAGCAGATTGATCCAAGTTCAGTGATAGACAATATTCCTGCAAATCAAGCTACTTCAGTTAACCAGGTCAGAGACCCTTCTCTTAACCAGGTTTGTTATTACTAGTTAGACAATTATGCATTCTTTAATGAAAAAAAATATTTATAGATAATTATGATAAATTAGAATTTGAAAAACTTCGGAATATATACTGTATTCTTAAATGATTGGAATTTGAGGTAGATAATTATAAACATTCTAAAGCTAAACAGTCAGCTACACATTTGTATAGCTGTTATCTTACGTTTTGTATAATTAGGTGAAATCATGTTTTTAAGATTGGCAAACATTGAAGAAAAATCAAAATTTTGTTTAGGATGTTTAGTTCTGTTACACAAATTTACTTTATGCAATTTGTGAATTATTCAGTATTATAAGAAATGTATGCTTAATGATTAAACTATCAGAACCCATATTAGACATACAGAAAGGAAAATTTGGTAAAACTGAATGATACAAAAACCAAAATAAACATATAGAGGTCACCATAGGATCTTAAGCTACACTATATGGTAAATCACTGAGAGTAAAGATAAGTTAAGCATAACCACACTCAATTGATAAAAGAAAATGTTATGTAAGGGTGAATTAGACTTAAAAATGGGTTTACCAACACTGTACAACCATTGGTTTCTCAGGGGTATATTATACTACATTTGAAACAAAATAAATTATTAACTAGTATAAACAAAATACATTCCACTCCTGAAACATATATTGAAATATAGTAACTGTAATACAGAAACTGTTTTCTTGCTTTTTTAGTATCAGAAACACAATAATAATATTTTTTTAGCCAACAATAAAGCCGGAAAGTTATCTGCCTGAGTCCCGTTTATCCACGTCACAGTATGGTAACAGTCCATTGTCTAGTCCTACGCCCAGTAGTTACAGAACAGCTGCAGACCAAAGTCAACAGCTCTCCAGACCAGTAAATGAACCATCAGCCTTCAGCTATGTTACTGCTAATACTGGAATACAAGAAGCACAACCTCAACCACAATTTGTTGTTCCACAAACCAATGCGTAAGTTATAAATATATATATAGATTTAGAATAATTTACAGGTGTTTTTTTCTGACAGTATGAAAGCCCCTTGTTTCAGTCTGATTGAAATACAGCTCCTGTTTCCACACTTAGATTACAAGGATTGGACAGTGGTTTGTTCTACTTTCTGTTCTGGTAATATTTACATGAGCTGATGAAATTTCTGCCTCCAATTATCATTACTACAAAACCAGAGGGCCCAGAAAGGTCTTTAAAACTGAAAATTGAAAAGCCCATTGTCAGTGTCTGTATTATAATCAGATTAGGCCCTTGCTCATATATATTTATGTCTTTAAGGAATCCAGGCAAATTCCTTGCTTCATTGGTGGTAACACATTGTAAAAGTCATTTTCAGAATCTATAAGCTAATTTAAACCATGAATTTTGATATCCAACAAAATTTCTTTTTTCATTAATTGCTATGTGCAGAATGTGAAATCTCCAATAGAAAAACCAATGAGCCATTTTTTAGTTCCCTTCAGATGAAGTCAAAGGGGACTTAAGGTCTGTCTGTCTGTCTGTCTGTCCATCCGTCAGTCCAGCAAATCAGTTTTCCACACTATTTTTCTTCGTGCTTGAAGATATTGATTTGATATTTGGTGTATTGTTTTATTATGACAAGTTACAGGTCAAGTTCAAATTTTGTTCCGGTCTGATGATTTTGTGCAGAGTTATGGTCATTGGACTTAGAAAATTCACGCAAATAATCAGTTTTCAACACTTTTTTTCGTCATGCTTGAAGATATTGACTTGATATTTGTTATATAGCTTACACCATGACAAGTTATAGATCAAGTTAGCATTTTGTTCCAATACAATGAATTTTTAACTGGTTATGTATTGCCATGCAATACTCTCAGAATGCTTGTTTTTCTTTGTTTTCATGGAACTAAGTGGTTGAGAGGTAGTTCATCGACAATGATCATTATCCTCTCAACACTGAGGTTGTGAGTTTAAACCTCACTTTTGGCAGGTGCATTGAACTCAGAACTTAATTGACAGTTTTCCTGATCGCCATGATATAGCCAAGAGTGCTGTAAGTGGCTTTAAACATCAATAGTCAATTGACCGATCAATCTATCTTTACAGGACTGTACCACAGTTACACAATGCTCAGCCAAGTTTAGGTCGTATTGACTCCAACCAAATACCAATAGTGGCCAAGCTGATGGCACAAGGAAAGTCCATTTCATCATTGACTCAAGACATTGAGTCATCACCTTCTAACTCTACATCAACATCAACATCAACGTCTAAACCTGTTACAATATCATCGGGAGATTCACCAAGCGTCATGTCGGAAGTTAGTGTTCCACAAACACAGGTATGTCATTAAAGATAGGCTTAGGTCACAAAATGACACTTCTAACTCAAATTAACTATCACAATGCAGGTTTAGTTGTCTTCACTTTAACATGCCAGAATGCATTTAATTTGTATTATCCACATTGTCATATGATATGTAATCAGTTATCAAGTTGCATTAAGTATAAAGTCTCACTGGTTGTTACATTGATTAATGTTATTTGACATTGAAATTAATTTCACTATCAAAGGTTAAAATTTCCATTATACATGAATTCATACCACACTTATTTTGTTGTTTCCAGATAATAATTCATGTCATGTGTTTAATGAATATCAATCACTTCATGGTAATTAGTGGGTGCCTTCTTTTTTTGGGAGGTACTGGACCTGTGTCCAGTTTGGAAGTTGAATAGTTAAGATTGAATTTAGTTGTAGTTATTTTTTTACAAACATGGTCTACAAATCATTAGAATTGTATAATATAATGTAAGTGATTTTTTTTTGTATGTGTTTGTAGGTAAAAAATATTTTGAAATTATTTGATATGACAGTTGACCATTTTACTACACAAATGCAGTTGCACAAATCAACTAATGCAGTATTTGTAAAGTATAAGTTACAAATATCACCTGATGATATTCTGCATCTTTCTCTAGTTAAAGAAACGGCCTCCGTGGTTTTGAGGTAGCATGCTGTCCTCCAGTGCAGAAGGTTTTATGTTCAATCCCAGTCCAGTTCAATGAAAGACTTGAAAATTGGTATTCGCTGCTTCTCCACTAATCACACAGCATTTAGGAGTAAGAACAAAGACTGGTTGAGTCAGTATAATGTGGGTGTTGCGTCTCCTTCCAGACCTTGTGAACTAGCATGTAAAAAATCAGCTCAGCAGCTGTTGTCAGTCTAGAATAAAGTAGGTTCACATTAATATTACATTAATGTGTTCTCACGCTGAATTTGCATTTAAAAATGTTGCCACTGACGTTGAACATCCATCCATCAGGAACATCTCTAATGAATGGTAACATTAGATTACTGTTAAGGCAACAGTTCATTTTTTGCGAGCCCTCATGGTCAGTGTCTAAGCAATGTTGATTTCTTAAAAAAATCATAGACATCAACTTGTATTAAAGAACTGAAGATATTCAGGTGCAGGTAAATAAATTTATTTATACTCAATACAAAAAATGAGAAAAGATTGGCAACACTGCCCCTCTTTTGTCTTGTTTCTAATGTTCATTCAAATAAGATTTTGATTTTGTATATGTACACTTCTTTGACCAAAACATAATATTAGATATAACAAAAAGTTTATTCTGAATTGACAGGTATCAACACAACCTAACAATGACAGCATTGTAAATACTTCTACAGAGGAATCAGTATTTCCAAGCGGTAGGTCTTCACTTGTAAAAATATATCATGGAAATTTAGCAGTCTAATGGTTATGCCCTTAGATTGTAAAGCTTTTTCCTTATTTTCCTGCATTGCAATAGCTGATAAGCAGCGGAAAGCTTTGGCTCTTATCATTGGTAAGCTGGTAATGTTGCTGTCTGTAGATGAAATGTTTTCCAATCAATTTGCCTTTATTCTGATTTCACTATCATCAGAAATGTTTATATTTTTTTATTTTCATACATGTATTTGTAAATAGTTGTTTTAGATAGATATTCAAAGTCCAATTACCAGGGTCAAATTCAGCCCTTCCTTGACAAACTTCTTTCTATCCAAAAAAGCAACTGGCATATTTAGTATACTTGTGACATCACTCCCCTTATTGTGGTTCCATTCAGCATCTGTTTAAATACAACTGACATATTTAACAAGTTGACCAAAATAACCTTTACCAAGGTTTCAAGGTTAGAGAATCAAATAAATATGGGTTATGTTGCTTATAAGTTCAAACCATATTATTAGATCATAATTATATACCCCAGTCGGCATCACAGTCATCTGCTGATCAAATCCTCACTTTGGAAGAACAGTGCAGTTGTGAATTGCCAGCAAATGCTGACAAACAACGAATGTTTTTGTTGCAAACATAAGAGTTTTTTCCATCTAGATTTAGATGATCAACAATGTATTACACAAATTGAAAATTAGGAAAATACTGTTCTATCTTTGAACTCATGGAAACATGAAAACTGGAATGTAACTTATGATGTAGAAAAATGTCGCAACTAACCAAATTGTGGTAAATTCAAAATTGAGACTTATTTTGTGTGTAAAATTTTCCTTTGTGATATATGTACACAAAAAAGAAAGAAAGAACAATGACACTAATTGATACAAACCATTGATTGTTTTCAACAAGCATTTAGTTTGGGGTTTCTTTCTCCTTTAAAGGAATTAAAATGACTAAAATGGCTCAACATCCAAAATAGTATTTTATTCTTATTTGATGTAATTTTGATCAAATAATTTTTTGTCCTTTCATCAGAAAAATCATGAATTCAGTAATATTAAATAACCAAATACAATCCTGATTTGAAATGCCGTCATTATAATTGATAACCAAATATTATATGAAATAACTTGATATATTTCTTCAGGTTCAGCATGTGATATATGTGGTAATCGTCAGGCAGAAGTGATATGTGAGATATGTGATAATAAACAACTCTGTTTAGACTGTGATAACAAATGGCATCAGCATCCTAGACGACAGAACCACAGACGGGAAAACATTGCAGGAGAGGCAGATGACCATTTACCCAATCAAAAACCAAGAATCGGATCACATGGGGAAACAGCTCAAGTAAGGAATGTTTCACATGAAGGTAATACTGACATGATTATGCCACATGGTGGTGGCGGTGATAGCTTTGTGACGGCTAACTACAACCCTCCTCAGCCAATGGGTTATTACACACCTCCTCAAGCAATGGCTAATTACATCCCTCCTCAGTCAATGGCAAATTACAACCCTCCTCAGTCAATGGGTGCTGAAAAACGACCTGGTATGAATTATATAACCAGTCGGATGCAGAATCTGGGAGTAGAGGGACATGGACGGACAAGGACACCTTCAGCTGGGGAGAGTGGCATGGCAGAGATGTCTAATATAATGGAGCCACACAGTGTGCAAACAGGGTAAATGAATATGAAAATTAAGAGATGTAGTATAATTTCCAATGGACAACTATCCACCAAAGACCAAAGGATATAGATGAAAACAACTACAGTCTTTTAATTGAGCTGAATCATCGAATTATTTCTATATACAATAATCTTTTATGGACTCAATTGTAGAATCTTTATTTCTCAGTACTTTGAATCCAATATTTGGTTTATTTCGTTGTATTCAATTCTGTGAAGCAAAATTTCTTTGATAGTTTTTTTGGTATTTTTGGAAATATTTCTATAGAAAGGAATTGTGCATTTTCATTTAACAAAGATATAGATTTTAATTCGATAAAAAAAAACTGTTATTGTTTCTATACGTAAAATTTCAAAAATTACATACAGAACCCTATAATCAGTTTGATAATCAAGTAATTCATAATAAGTAGATCTTTCATTTTTGTTGTATCACCTGGACAAAAGTAGTGGAAGGCAAGACATAGGTGTTGCTTTTTCTGCAGCATCAACAATTGTTAAGTTTTCTACTTAAGTCAGTTTGATAGGAACTACTTGTGATAGATCAATGATATTTTTTGCATTACTATCAGTACATAACAGTTTGATGACTAGTTCTAGGCCTTGCCCCTAGGTCTATTCCATCAACTTCCAATTAATTAGCAATTTTCAATGATAAGTTTTCTACTTAAATCAGTTTAATAGGAAGTACTTGTGATAGATCAATGATATTTTCTATAAAGTTGCATTACTATCAGTACATATCAGTTTGATGTCTATTTCGAGGCCTTGCCCCCTAAGTCCGGTGACTTAATTAATCATGTTAATTAGCTAATTTTAATGTTAAGGTGAGACATATCTCTTTGTCAATAGTTTATGAGAATTAGGATTTCTACTTGGCATTAGATTGCTGGGTATTTGAGTGTACTTATAAATATTTTTTTTAAATTTTAAACAGAAGTACACTGGAATACAAACCATCATGAAGCAATTTATTATGACTACATTTACTTAATATTGGGTTTAGAAGCAATAATAACTTATAGGAGGAAAATATGACTGCACATTTTGGAAGTGAAATGTTAAATACTGCCTTAATCTGTGAAGACATGCTTACTAAGAATATCGGGCATGAGAACCAGGCAGTTTAATGTGCATACCATAAACGTTCTATGAATCTTTTGTTGATGTATTAAAATTTTGAATGGATATTATTTTATTTAAAGTTTTCACTGATATTATCTTCATTGCTTTTTTTCATCTCCAGGAGTTGGTCAAATCAACACCAGGTACCTTATGGTTACTCTCACCAGACCAATGTTGTAGGACCAGTCCAAGCATATGGAAGTCCCATGTCAGGAAGTCCCATGTCACAAATGCATCTCTCTTCCTCTCCAAGTATGGCCAGTGTAAGTGTCCTTTTATTTTCATTTTTTCCGTATTTTACTCATAAATGGACTTAGTTTTTTTTACAGTTAAGATTCAGATTTAGTCTGAGGTTAAAGTTTTTTATACATCAATAACTTTGTCAAACCTTCATGGAATTTTATGAAATTTGGACGGAAGCTTGTTTATGACCAAAAGACAGTATCCAGAGTAAAATTTCGAAAATATTTTTATTCATTTTTCTGCCACCAAATGCTTGGGGATGAATGACATTTTAGAAATGACCAGTGATAAAAATTCCATCAAGGAAAATAAGTTATAAAATGAAACATATCACTGGTAAAAGCTGAGATGTTTCTCATGTCATGAACATTGTTGAAGGTGTTTGGAAGGGGTTGGTGGGTGGTAAATTGAATTCTAGAACTGTTAAACTGTCAACTTGAACTTAGTTTGACCATGGAAGTAATATTTAAAAGGAATAACAACGTCGTCACTTCAAAGGTTTCATCTGCGTTACCGCCCATCTTTCGATAACTTGTTAATTGGTTTAATATCTGGCATGGAAGTTGATTCACCGCATGTGATCGATCAAATCACCGACACTTTTCGGTCATTTTCGTGTTCACGGAAAACTACGAACAGACAAGTTTTTGTCGTATATACGTGCGAAGTAACCCGAATAGTCCATTCGTTACATTCCGTTGATGTACGCTGCCGAATAGAGTCATTCGTTCAATTTTTATTTTAGTCCAATTTTCCTATTTCTGGTTAGTTCGATCTTAATAGTACCGACAGCTATTACATATGAAATTGGAGAACAAGGCTGGGTCATTTTCAATTTTAATATTTACAGACAGTTAAAAAGCCATTTCCGTAAGTTAAGAAGATGATTGTACAAAAAATACGTTTGGACACCCTTTTATTAAATAAGAATAATCTAAGTCTTTTGTGTATTAGTCAATTAAAATATTCACAATTCTAAACGGTTCTATCCTTTAATTTATAGTTCTTGATACATAAACTAATTCGTGTAAAAATGAATTTGCCGTAAGACAGATAGCGTCAAGCTCATTTTGTCGGTTTGTTTTGATTTTTGCTGTAGCTTGTTATATTAATACAAGTATTCCACAATAAACACTTTTAAAAAAGTATATGTTTACGAACATATTATCCCTATTTTAGCTGTCCAGTTTCAATAATGTAATCAATGACATTTATGACATATACATAAATTTAGAATACTTCTCGATAAACTTTGAACATTTCAACAGTAAAAAAATCTATGTCTAGATTTGTCTACATTATTTTGTTAAACATCATGTGAAACCTGATCAATTCATCGGTATTTAACTGTTTTACTCGGGATCCGCTTTTAACCGGAAAATACTTTTAGAACAATTTAAAACAAACGGTAAAAAGCAAAAATATGCTAAATTAAATACAATTTTCCATGCTAAACTGTTGTAGGTTGAACAATTCTTGTCCGTTTTTCAAGTTTTTTACATCATACGACTTCTTTCTGAAGGTAAAGGTTGTATATGATACAGCGCCACCTTCTTATTAATAAACCTCGGATTTCACACAGGTGCTTTATAATTACCGGACTCGATAAAATCAAGTGACTGATAAGAAATTCCAGATGCCATTTTACAACCGCGGTATCACAGATAGTAACCAAAGGGGTCTTGCCGCTGAGACTATAATTGGATAAAATCATATGACTTTAGTACAGAGCTCTGCAGGCTGTTAATACATGCTAATTAGTCGTTGTTATTCCTTTTAAATATTACTTCCATGGTTTGACTGCTTTGAACCAAGAAACTGATTACACAAAGACCATGCATATGGCTTAACACACAGATTTTGGGTACATCAATCATCTAGTGACTGAAATCACTGACCTTCAGTTAATATATACTAATTAATGGGTAATCATTTTTATGAGATCTGAAATTATCCTGCCTTTCACCACAAACAGTGAATAATTGTCACATGTATTTGAATAGATTAGTATGTTCCCTGGTGAGATTGCAGTGTAACTTCAAAGTGTCAAATGCCAGAGAAATTAATCTCAAGATGTAGCAAGTGGTCTGTATATGTTAATTAAATGTATCCAAGATGTTAGCATGTTTACTGGAAAGATTAATTATCAATGTTGGCTGGAAATATTGTTTGTTTAAACAATACTTATATTACATATAAGTAACCTATTAAAGTTTGTTATACATCAATTACTTTGGCAAACCATGGAAGTATTATATTGACAGGAACTCCAATGAAAAATTACCACATTCCCATCCCACTGGTTTCTTTAAGAAGATAAAAGGTTCCGACTCAGGTTGTCAAGTATGTGATAACTCCTTTGTGGGGTATCTGCGATGCTGCCTTCGCTGTTCTGTTTACTGAAGCTGGTCTTATCACCTGATATGTTATTGAATGTCTTATCTACCTACCAATGTAAATAAACACGGAAACTCCTGTGGTTATTTGTGGATCGTCACATGAATGACGACACCTGTTTCCGTTCAATTAATGAAGGCGAAAGCTGAAAATATTTTAAAAATCGGTCCATATTTAACAGAATGACATAAGAAAATTATCTGTATTCGGAAAGAGAGAAGGTTATTTTTAGTTTTGTTTAATATGTTTTAATCATTGTAACTTGGAAATCGGGAAATCTCCGGTATTGAAAATTACATGTACCTGAAGGAGGGTGTTTGCAGAAAATAATGTGATGCACGTGAAGTGTGCAAGATGGCGAAGGATAACTCTAATTTTAAGTTAAAGGTTATAAATTTTTATCATGCGTTACAAGAATATTTATGGTTTTCTCAATTTAGAAAAATGTAATTAAACGTATTTATCGATTATGTTTTAAAAACTAAAAAAGGTTAATAATTACACACATGTCATGGTATCTATATAGCATGTATCAGGTTGCGAGACAGATAACATGTTACACCTTTTGTAATAATTCAAAAGTTAAAACCAACCTTCAACCTAGTCCGAGATTTCTCTGACGTCTGACAGATTTTTTTTTAGGAATGCCGGATTAACTTTAAATATACGCATTTAAAGAATGATCATCATGATGGTCCCTAAGCAGTATAATATTTGAAGAAACAAAACATGAATTGCTTAACAAAGGTTGTAAGATGTTTCAGAACTGTTAAGCATTTACACACAAAAATAAATTCAAATTTGGTTCCCATGATAAAAATCTTAAGAATAAAAAAAATGGCTTGTCGAATTGCATAAAATATTTGCCATTGGACTTTCAGTAAACAATTAATCAAAATGTTTGTCAAGTTAGCAGTAAACCTCAATTATAGATGCACAATACGACTTTTTTTTCCTTACACAAGGAATTTATTGTTATTCAAGCCAATATTACAGTCAGGGGTACTACTTGTACAAGTAATATTTATTTACTTGAAGAAGTAAATATTAATATACTTATATAAGTAAATTTGTAGGATACTTATACAAGTGTATTTTATTTACTTGTATAGGTAAAAAAAATTGGGCTTAGTTATGTCCCTTAGACATTCAGATTTTTTTACTTATACAAGTAAAAAAGTCATCCTATGTTCTTTTCTTGAATTCTTAGGACTTCTTTGCTCTAATAGAATTTTTAATTGTCTGTCCTTTGCAGATGTCTTTACTAATCATTTAAGTGTAATTTCATGGACAATGAAAATCTCATTTGTCTGTTATCTTCAGAACACTGCTCATTTACAAGCCCCCAAGAGGCAATTTTTGAAGGCCTTGCGCAAATACTTAAGATCTTGGCGCAATCAGTTTCTTTGTTGAATTAATGAAATGAAACATTGAACTCTAATAAAAAATTATGAGCTAACCTGAGAAAAATTGTTAAAGGCATGTTTTTATACGACCGCAAAAATTGAAAATTTTTTGGTCGTATATTGGTATGACGTTGGCGTCGTCGTCGTCCGGCGTCGTCCGAAGACACATTGGTTTTCGCACTCTAACTTTAGTTTAAGTGAATGGATCTCCATGAAATTTTACCATAAGGTTCAATACCACGAAAGGAAGGTGGGGATTGATTTTGGGGGTTATGGTACCAACAGTTAAGGAAAAAGGGGCCAAAAATAAGCATTTTTGTAACTTCCAGACAATAACTTGTGTGTAAGTGTATGGATCTCTCTGACATTGTACCACAAGGTTCCATATCACAAAGGGAAGGCTGTAATTGATTTTGGGGGTAATTGCCTCAAAATTTTAGGAATTAGGGGCCAAAAAAGGGGCAAAAAACAAGCATTTTTCTAGTTTCATGACAATAACTTGTGTGTAAGTGTTTGGATATTTCTGAAATTGTACTACAAGGTTCCATATCACAAAGGGAAAGCTGGAATTGAGTTTGGGGGTAATTGCCCGAAACATTTAGGAATTGGGGGCCAAAAAGGGGCCAAAAATAAGCATTTTTCTAGTTTCCAGACAATAACTTGTGTTCAAGTGTATGGATCTCTCTGAAATTGTACTGCAAGGTACCATACCACAAAGGGAAGGCTGGGATTGAGTTTGGGCGTGATGAATCATAAGGGGGTTCAAAAAATTTGGGGGGGGGATTTTTTTTTTTTTCTTTTTTTTTCTTTTTTTCCTTTTTTTTTTCTTTTAAAATTTTCCATTTTAAGTTGGTTATTTCTGATTAATATTTAAAAGCAAATAATAATGATATGGTAGGAGATACACACCAAACAGGATGTGTAAATTATTATATAATAAGTATTGTGCAATAGCAAGAAATTTTCAATTGCACAGTATTGCACAATAGCAAGAAATCTTCAATTGCACAGTATTGCGCAATAGCAAGAAATCTTCAATTGCACAGTATTGCGCAATAGCAAGAAATATCCAATAGCACAATATTGCGCAATAGCAAGAAATTGTCAATTGTACAGTATTGCACAATAGCAAGAAATATTCAATTGCACAGTATTGTGCAAAAGAAGATACTTCGTATAAATTGCTTATTTCTTGATCAATTTCAATGGGGTTTTATTCTTGAATTCTTGGGGTTCTTTAATATGCTGAATCTAACCGTGTATTAAGTTTTTGGATTTTGGGCCCCGTTTTTAAATTGGTCCACATTGAGGTCCAAAGGGTCCAAAATTTAACTTTGTTTGATTTCATCAAAAATTGAATTAATGGGGTTCTTTGATATGCCGAATCTAACCGTGTATTTAAATTCTTAATTTTTGGTTCCGTTTTCAAATTGGTCTACATTAAGGTCAAAAGGGTCCAAAATTAAACTTAGTTTGATTTTAACAAAAATTGAATTTTTAGGGTACTTTGATATGCTGAATCTAAACATGTATTTAGATTTTTGATTATGGGCCCAGTTTTCAAGTTGGTCCAAATCGGGGTCCAAAATTAAACTTTGTTTGATTTGAACAAAAATTGAATATATGGGGTTCTTTGATATGCTGAATCTAACCATGTATTTAGATTTTTGATTTTTGGGCCCCGTTATCAACTTTGTCCACATTGAGGTCAAAAGGGTCCAAAATTAAACTTTGTTTGATTTCATCAAAAATTGAATTCTTGGGGTTCTTTGATATGCTGAATCTAACCATGTATTTAGATTTTTTATTTGTGGACCCGCTATCAAATTGGTTCATATTGAGGTCAAAAGGGTCCAAAATTAAACTTTGTTTGATTTCATCAAAAATTGAATTATTGGGGTTCTTTGATATGCCAAATCTAACCGTGTATTTAGATTTTTAATTTTGGGTCCCGTTTTTAAATTCGTCTACATTAAGGTCCAAAGGGTCCAAAATTAAACTTAGTTTGATTTTAACAAAAATTGAATTCTTGGGGTTCTTTGACATGCTGAATCTAAACATGTGTTTAGATTTTTGATTATGGGCCCAGTTTTCAAGTTGGTCCAAGTTGGGGTCCAAAATTAAACTTTGTTTGATTTCAACAAAAATTGAATATATGGGGTTCTTTGATATGCTGAATCTAAACATGTATTTAGATTTTAGATTTTTGGCCCAGTTTTCAAGTTGGTCCAAATTGGGGTCCAAAATTAAACTTTGTTTGATTTCAACAAAAATTGAATATATGGGGTTCTTTGATATGCTGAATCTAACCATGTATTTAGATTTTTTATTTGTGGGCCCGCTATCAAATTGGTTCATATTGAGGTCAAAAGGGTCCAAAATTAAACTTTGTTTGATTTCATCAAAAATTTAATTATTGGGGTTCTTTGATATGCCAAATCTAACCGTGTATTCTACATTAAGGTCCAAAGGGTCCAAAATTAAACTTAGTTTGATTTTAACAAAAAATGAATACTTGGGGTACTTTGATATGCTGAATCTAAACATGTGTTTAGATTTTTGATTATGGGACCAGTTTTCAAGTTTGTTCAAGTTGGGGTCCAAAATTAAACTTTGTTTGATTTCAACAATAATTGAATATATGGGGTTCTTTGATATGCTGAATCTAACCATGTATTTTGATTTTGGACATTGGACCATAATAGGTAAATTAAAAAAATTGAAGTTCTTAGACCACATTCTTTCTGTGTCAGAACCTATGCTGTGTCAAATATTTAATCACAATCCAAATTCAGAGCTGTATCAAGCTTGAATGTTGTGTCCATACTTGCCCCAACTGTTCAGGGTTCGACCTCTGCGGTCGTATCAAGCTGCGCCCAGCGAAGCATTTTATTACATCTCAAAACTAGAGAATTTTTGTGGGATTGTAAAAAATATTACTTATACAAGTAAATTTTTGAGAAAATTAAGGGGAGATTATTCAAACATTATAATTAACTTATATAAGTATATTTTATTTACTTCTTCAAGTAAATAAAGATTACTTGTACAAGTAGTACCCCTGACTGTATTAAAATAAAGATATGTGGTATGATTGCCCATGCGCTATTTTATTATTCCAAAATATGATATTTTTTCCGATCAAAGCCCTTTAAAACCACTTTTCATTTTGTTATTTCCTTGACAATTAAGTACACATCCCGTTATTTCGGTATATTCCGTAATTACGATGTTCCAAAAATTTGATTGAACCCATGCATCGATATGATATAGAATTTTTTCTAGATTGCTGCTTTACAATGTAATGCAGCATTCACACAGTGCCGATTATGGCTCCCGTTTGAGATCAGACAGCGCTAAGACACGAAAAGTTAAAAAGTCTGATTACTATCCTCAGTGATCTAGAATGTCCTAACATTGTCTGAACAAAGTCATATACGTTCGTTAAAGATTCCTACGGATCGGGAAAGGTCCGGAGAGGTCGGCCAAGCACCCCGACAGTTAGTTGTATCCCGTAACATTCAGGGAAACTCAGCCGATTTTGTCTAGTCGGATTACAATTGTAACAATGTTCTGTATTTTCTGGACGTTGTCCTCTAGAACGTGCATGATCTGGATATATTTGTCATTGCTTTTTTTTTTGCCAATTGAGTCCAGATTGCATCCAGATCTTGCCGAATGCGAACCGTCTTTGCCGGAACAGTTCCGGAATAGTCCATTTATTAATACGAAATTTGGCAGTGATACCTCGTCAGAGTCCCGACAATTACAGAACACAATACGACTGAGTCCAGACAAAGCCATGTGCAATGCGGTACATCAGAGTGTGATAGGATTGCGTTCCAACAGTACCTAATCATCCCGAATATGGCAACAGTTTTCTAATGTATATCTTCCATCAGCATCGGTTCATTGTCTGGTCACTGTCTGATCTCTCGGATCACATTCGGTAGAATCGGAATGCTGTTGGGACAGATTTGATCGTTTTGTACCATGCGAAAGATACAAATCGGATTAGAATCGGATTGAGAACGGGATTATCTGGACAAATTCGGCTGAAAACGGATGAATTTGGACGCTTCCTGAACAATATCTGATTGTTGTCGTGATTCAATAAATGTTTTTACAAATTTTAATTAAAGTTTGAATTTCCAGACACGATTCACAGGATGTTGATCCGACTTTTAACAAATTTTAAATGGGAATAGTCCTGTCAAGGACGGCAGTAAAAATGGTGAATGTGTGACCCCAGCTTAAACTGAACATAAATACAAATATCTTAGGCTAACCTGATAGTTTTTTTCAATGTTTAAAGACATTTCTAATGAGAATGAAGTAGAATTTCTAGGGCATAAACAAAACATTTTGTCTTCAGTCATTTCTTAATTGTTTTGAAAATAGCCAATATAATTCTTGTCTTTTTTCTGTAACAGGGTGGTCAGCAGTTCTACAATAACCAGCAAGTTCAAATGGGAAATCAGCCATATTTTGCAAACCAGCAATTTCCAAGAAACCACCTGCAGCAGCAGCAGCAAATAAATTCCTCCCTTGGCCAGGGTCATCAACAGAATCCATCTAGCACAGCACCAGGAGGACCACCTACATCACGTCTGCTACCCTCTATTCTGGCAATCCCCGACCTTCAGAGGAGAAAGTCAAAAGTAGATATAAATTTGATGACTCTTCGTGAAGAAATTGAAGATGTAGAGACAAAAATCAACGAATTAATTTCTCAGAATGGTCAGTTTTTCTCAGATCCTGAATATGCTTCATTGTATAAGAAAAAGGGAATGTTAACACGAGAGAAAATGGAATTAGAAAAGTATGAAAGAGAACTTGATCAAGCATTAAGAGGGGATGATCAAAACTCTTTTACACCAAGGAAAGGAAGTCTTCCTGATGTTTTAAGTCAGCCTGTAATTTACCCTCCCCCATATTTTGGAGGAACACCTAGTCACATCCATAGTAACCAGCCACAGATTGTTACTCAATCTCCTGCTTATTTTGTATATAGCCTCGTACCACAATCAACAATAACTCCTGGAAGTGTTTCTCCAGAGAGTCAAGGTCAACCTGGATACAGCTTAATACCAGCAACTCCTCAGCTTATTTCAGCTCATCAAAATATTCAATATCCACAAACTTTTAGTAATCAGCCTAGAGTTCCTGACTTTCCAGGAGTGTATCAATCACCACCATCCTCACAAAACTTTGTGAAACAGCAACATGCTACTACCATTCCTCCAAGAAGAATCGAAGATAGAGGTCAGCAAAAAACACCTCACCAAAGGTCATTTGAGGAAAAAATGGACAATGTTTTACCGAATCTTAATCCAAAACCCCAACAAATGACCCAAGATACATTGCAAAAGGAAGAACGACAAAATCAGCAAAATAACTTAAAGCTTACCCCACCAATTCCACATAGACAAATTGCTGGAGTTACTGGAAAACCACCTCATTCATATGTAAATGTACCCAATCTATCAACATCAATTGTTCAAAGTCATCAAAAGTTGGAGACCGTTGTAACAAATTCTCAAGACATACGAACATGGATTTGTTCTCACTGTACATTTCATAACAAAAATAATACCAAAATTTGTAAATTGTGTTGTAAAACAAGTGAGAAACCTCAATATGTTGATGAAGCGCCTTCAGTCGGTGATACCACTGATAAAGCAAAAGAGCCTCCTAGTATTGATGATGAGAATGAGACGGCTGTATTGGAAATTGGAAAACACATTGGAGAAATAACTGATCAGGCAAGTCAAAATTTTCTATTATTTACTGGATTTTTGTTAGGTATCACATAAAATAGTTATTGAATTACAGTTTTAAGATATGAAGTTCCAGTATTATGAAACATTATTGTTTTAATACCCCCACCCACAGATTCATGGAGTTGGTGGTAAACTGCAATGACCTTGTCAGTCTATTGGTCCATAATTTTCGCTAACTCAGCTTCCATATTGAGGAATGATTTGAAATTTGGTCAGACATTTTTTAATGTTCAGTTGTACTGTGGTAGTGATTATCAGATCTACCAGCCAAAACCGTTTTTAAAGCATTTTGAATTATTATCATTCCCTCAGCATGAAATTTTCTTTTAATGTTATTCATCTTCTGCATTCAGGAAATCGGTAAATATTTGATATTTGATCTGGAACTTAATAATGGTGACTTGTATTCTGTACATAATTTTCAGATCAGCTAGGCAGTCAATTCATGTTTGAAGATGCTTTGAGTTTTATTCTGCTCTCTAATCTTGAATTTCTCTTGTCAATTTCTAATAACGAGTGGGGTATTATACATTTCCTCTGACATTATAGAACAGCTGAAGCTCCAAACGCTACTCTACAAATTTGTGTACGGTAAATTAGATTAAAACAACTTAATACTTTATTTAAAGGTCAATTTTCACTACGGATTTCTGATTTAATATAACAAAATATAGAGTTTATAAGCTGTACTCTCAAATATAAAACATGAATTGCAAGTTTGGGTTTTCACAGCTTTTTATCTCAACTCATATTTCAGTTACTTGAAGAGTTATTTTTTATATTCTTATGTTGCGCAAACATTTTATTTCCCATGTTGAACATGATGTTATTGTGTAGACACATGTATTTAGGTTTCAGAATCAGACAAAATCTGATGACATATATAGTATATGTCCATATTTATTGTTTAGATTTACAATGAAAAAATAGCTGCTCAGAAACTGTACAAAGAAAGAGAGGAAAAAGAAAATTTACAAGCGGCGGCACTGAAGTCTGCATTACCCAAAGCAAAATTACCTGATCCAGTTCCTGTAGTCACGACAACAGTGACAAAAACTAAACCTGAAGTGACAAGACCTGTCCAGTCAACTCCCAAAATGATAAACAGACCCAATGAATCACCAAGCAAGATGGTGGTAGGGTCCCCTTTCTCTGCCGAAAGATTTTCTGGATCAAGCACAGGGAAGAATTTTGCAGAGACTCTGGAAGATATACAGAGAAGGAAAAAACAAGAAGAAATGCAGTTTGAAGGGAAAAAGTTACTCATGCTTTTGAAGGTAAAAATATAATAAAGTTTAACATCCTGCGAGTAGAATTTAATGTCATCTGTTGTCTGAAACTTTATAACTTGGTCATTTTTACTTTTTCATGATAATTCTGCATATACTTATATAAAAAAGGTTTTGCAGTAATCTGTATAGTTATTATCTATGCAATACTGTAAGAGTCAAAATATGAATTACATTGAAATTATTTCTTCAGTGTCCTAAAACTAATCACATGAATCATGTTATAGACAATTAAATCTTTATAGCAATATCGAGATTTCTTGATTAATTCTTGTTCAAGTACTGTTGAAATTAGGAAAATATATGGTGAGTTTGCAAAAGAACAGAAAGTGATTAACTATAGTTTAGTACTTATAATAACTGAAAGCAAAGGAAGATCTCTTTTAAATTGTTGTTCCTTGTCTCAAAGTCTCAGGGAGACCTTCAACTCTGAGAAAAAGCTAACACCTCACTGAAAGTTGAAGATAATCCTAGCACTGGTTTGATCAGAATTCTTTACAAGATCTTGCTAACACTACATCTGTGCTTTCAAGATCACAGATTCTTGGTAATATTGTACTGGCTCGACCAGTCAGTTTAAACCAGATGATTGGGTTTAAGAAGAGATAAAGAATCAGGTGCTGACTTTTATTCTAGTACCAATCCAAAAGTGGTAAATAACTGAAAATACAAAATAAAGTACAATTTTACAATGTGCCAAATAATTATTAAAGTTAATAATTCATCCGGTATGGAGTAACGGCATAGTCCGGAATGTAGCAATTCAATGCTCCGATACGGCATAGTCCAGAATGTAGCAATGAAATACTTCCAATATAAAAATAGTTAAAATTATACTTTGGTTACACAGTTAAATATATCACGGGCATTTTGAAGGCATCAAATATGATATTTCAAATGTTACTCACACTGTGGTTAGCCACAAATTGTGATCAAGAATGAATCCTGCGACAGTCCTTTGTCCAGTGTTATGACGTGGCAAGGTTGATTTGCAAAAGACGAATGCGAGGCTACGGTAACAATAGAATGTTGTACGGTGATGTCCAGATTTAACTCCTGAAAAACATAAACTAATCGTGAATATAATTACACAAAATATATAGATAAATAAACGGATCCAAGGCAACACAAATATCAACAAATTATATGGACTTATAAAGTGGGCGTTTTTCCTGTAATTCATGACAAGGAGCTAAATGTGAGATTACTAATATTTCTTGATATATTGTAATAAAGTATAACTAGTAAAAATTACTTTGTAATTTACTCCCAGTCAGATTCTTCTGTCATTAATAAAACATTACATTGATTCCTGAATTGCAGCAAAGTTTAATCATTACTAATTATAGAATTATTAAATTTAAATGTTATTTATGTATCATTGACAATATTTTTGACAGAATTGTGAGAAGGATGGAATCGATGCTGATGAAGTTGAGTTAGCTGTGGAACTTGCAGGTGATGTTCCTGCAGGCAAATGGTTAAGAGAAAAATGGATGCCTTTGGTTGACAGGGTAATACATTCAGCGACCAATCAGGGAGCTTTGATGGAACAGAATGATGTTGGGGAATTATCTCTGATAGAGAGTAAAGAGGCTCTTAAACAGACTGGGAATGAAATGAATGCAGCCAGAATGTGTGTTGAATACAGGAAAAAACTGGTAAGAATTGAAGTGTTAACATTAACAGTTATTCTGATGTACTTGTATTTGATTAGAAAGTTTGAAATATATTGACTATTACAACAATTACAGCACTAGTTATAGTGATAGTAATAATCACTTTATTTTTAAGAAATTTAGTTCAATGCTCAGTCTTTCCTTAGACTCTCTTATAAAAAGACACAATTTAAGATAATATTTTATATAGAAAAACATATAGGAAAATAAGTATGCACATTATTATATACCTACTCTGTAAGAGGGGTATACAGTTTTACCCTGTCTGTCAGTATGTCTATTCATCCTTAAATTTCCATCACATTTTTCACAGGAACTTTAAATAAGAGCTTCCTGAATTGGTATAAGGCTTTATGTGAGCATTCTTTCTGTTTGATGCATTTTCAGATTCATCACTCTTCAACTTCCTGTTCACTGAGAGTTATATATTCTAACACATTATGACCATGTATGAAAGTTTTCATAACATAGATGTTAGTATATTGCTTACGATCAAAAATTGTAAAATTAAAAAGAAAACCATGATAAATGACCTTTTTAGCTCACATAGCCATAAGACCACAGGAGCTATTGCTGTCACTTGGTGTCAGTCATCATAAACTTTATAAAAGATCTTCTCTGAAACTACTGAACAAATTTCAACCAAATTTCCAGTGAATGATACTTAGGGTATTTTGTATAAAGAATGTGCTTTTTTTCCAGGTCAGTTAACAACAGGGCTGCCATGTCTAAAAATAGAACATGTTGGTAAAATGCATTAATTGTCTTATATCTTGAAAATCATAATAGATAGAGAAAATCTGACAGGTCAAAAATGCTCTGATATTCCTTCCTCCTATGTTGACTACCCATGATGGTCTTTCACGTTCAGTTCTGTTTATGATAAAAAAGTGACTTTTAATCTCTATAAACCTTAATGCTTTATCTGATTGTAGTACAGTGAAATAGAAAGTCATGGAAACTTTGCTAGAGAAGATATACTCCAAGCAATGCTGCATACACAAGGTGACCTTGAAAATTCTGTAGATGAGTTGAATTCAAAATGGCTGCAGTTGTTTAATGACAGAATATGGCTCACAGAAGAAAATGCACAAGCAGAGAATCCTTTAGTTGATGATCAACAGATTGCACAAGAGCTTGCCATGGCTAGGGCTAGTGAAATATGTAATAGTGTGACAAACAGTGTCTTGTCCTATACCACATTCCAGGCTACTGTCAAGGACAGAACTGTTGACCTTGAGGTTTGTGTTTGTCATCCTTCTATCGTACATCAACAATCCTACAGATATTGATAGACTGTATTCAGTCTAATAGATTGCTATTGTAATTGATACAACATCACACCCTGTTTGTTCTTATTGTAGTTTATTTAACTTCTTAATGGTGCAATCCACTTTTTGACCATTGAAAAACCTTATGGTTTTTGTTTTGTTATCTTTATAAAGGAGATTTCAAAGCATGCAGCTGAAAACAATATCTGAACAGTTTCAGATATCAATTTTTTTTTGTCACTTGGGACAAAATTGTAAGAAATGCTCAGTTAAGCTGACAGTTGTGAGTGCTTCTTAGCCTAATATAAAATATAACTGATAGTCTAAGACATTTTATACAAATATATTCAATTTTATGAAAGGTTTTATTCAATTCATAATTATGCTACTTTAAATTCAGAAATTGTTGTGATGTTTTTATTACCAGTAATGCGAAATAAGGCATCAGAAGGATTTGCAAAATTTGCATTCATAATTTCCGTGCTGATTTTTTTTCATAAAATTATTGCAATTGCATTAATTAGATTTATTTTTTTGACAGAGGTCAACAAATCACAATAATTAATGCACACATTAATTTCTGAATTTACAATTCCTTTTCATAACAAGATTTTTTGTTCAATAGTATTGTATTGACTCATTCAATTTTAAGATGATTGACAATATATTTATGATGTTACAGTATGTTTCCTACTAGAAATCATGTGTGTGGAATTATATGTCGACAGGTTCACATCCAAAATTCATTTTATTTGCCCTTCACTTTCAGTTAAGGCCTTGCGGTCATAAAACTTTCGAGCACGATTATCGTACTCAGACTGAAAAAATCAACCAATCAAAATACTGGATTTGGTGTTTCGAGCACAAATATTGTACTCCCAGTACTAGTAAAGTTTTATGACCGAGGGCCCAGGAATTTTGTAGAAAAAGAAAAAATCCATGTCTGATAATTATAGGATGTTTTACAGAACAATGATTTAAATTGCTTGTCTTTCTTTCCAACTTTCTAAGATTCATGCAAAATAGAATTGTATTTTCAACAATGTATGACTAATTCTTATAAAACAGAAATTGATTGACCTTATAATATGTTTCATAGGTAGTCTATCATTGACATCGTGAAATGCAAATTGTTCATACTTAGGATTGCAGATTATTTGTCAGAAGGATTTGATTACAGATTGTATGTTATATACTTCACCTAGGTCTTTGTGCAAAACTGTCTGTTTATATGATAGCCAGTTGTATAGTTACACAAGGAGACATATATACTCAAATACTTTCAGCATTTGTTTATTTTTGGTATAACTAGTTATTGAATTTGTTAAGGGGTACAAAAAAACACTGATTATTAACATAACAAAAATAAGTATAAGAATATGGTTGAGACAGCTTGAATTATATTTGTAGAGAAGAACAAGACTGATACTTGTTGAAGGGAAACTACAAAGTTGGGGAAGAGCAGAAATTGTTATAAGGATCCTAGATGAAGAAGTTGTCACAGGCAATTTGGTAGCTTCCTTAGAAGAAGTTGTGGAAGCTGTAAGGAACTGTGGAGATCGTGCTAGTTCTCTTATCTTTCTTAAACAGTATTGTGAAATCTGTTATTCACAGTTTCCTATGACAAAAGTAAGTTAAAGATTTAACATAATATCTTTATGTTATTGCTTGGTGGCTTTGAGACTCAATAATGATGCTTTACTTGATATTCGGAAAAGTTTCAAAATCTCCTTTTACTTATTGACAATCAAAGAAAAAGTAATGCATTTAACTTAAGAAATTTTAGATTTAGACTGCAGAATACATCTTTTTGTACATGCATTGGGTCATAATAGATTATTTCCAACAAAATGTTTAGCTAATTGTTTTTAACAAAGTTTTGAAGTTAAACAGTGTCCATTTCATCACAGTAATCAATATCTTTTTCCTGTCAATTTGTAAAAAGTAATACTTCCATTCTAATTTTCATTTAACCATGTACACACATTATACAAACTGTCAATAATGTCACTCCCTTGTACACACATTATACAAACTGTCAATAATGTCACTCCCTTGTACACACATTATACAAACTGTCAATAATGTCACTCCCTTGTACACACATTATACAAACTGTCAATAATGTCACTCCCTTGTACACACATTATACAAACTGTCAATAATGTCACTCCCTTGTACACACATTATACAAACTGTCAATAATGTCTCTCCCTTGTACACACATTATACAAACTGTCAATAATGTCACTCCTGTGCACACACATTATTCAAACTGTCAATAATGTCACTCCCTTGCACACACATTATACAAACTGTCTATAATGTCACTCCCTTGTACACACATTATTCAAACTGTCAATAATGTCACTCCCTTGTACACACATTATACAAACTGTCAATAATGTCACTCCCTTCTATTTAAAGTTAAGTTACAGTAAAAGGGCTATGTCACAGGTTTTGTTAAAATTTTGCTTACAACTTTGGCTTGTTGAACTTTACTAAAAATAAAAATAAAATAATGTAATTATCTCTTTTATTTCCTGAAATATTAGTGATTGAATTTTATCAAACTAAGTGAACATTTAAAATTGAGAATGAAAATGGGGAATGTGTCAAAGAGACAACAACCCGACCAAAGAGCAGAAAACAGGCCAAGGCCACCAATGGGTCTTCAGGACAGTGAGAAAATCCTTCACCTGGAGGCTGGCTTCAGCTGGCCCTAAACAAAAATGTATAATAAAATTATCTTAAAATTGAAAATTTATGTATCGACAACACATAGTTTTTTAAGAAAAATCTATGGTCAAATATTTGAAATTGGAGATTTGATGATTTTAAGACAAATTTAAGATCGTTTTTCACCGATTATATGTGCTTTCTATTCAAATGTTCACCTATTTTGACAGAATTCAATCAATAATATTTCAGAAAATAAAAGAGATAAATGCATTATTTTTTATGGTTTTCAGTTATAGTTCAACAAGCCAAAGTTGTATGCCAAATTTTACTAAAATCTGTGACATAGCCCATTTACTGTTCCTTGAACTTATGTGCAGACTACACATTATACATATACTTATTAATGACACACATTCTACTAACTGTAAACTATGACACACCATCTTTTATATATGTATAGGTATATGTATAGCATACCTTTTTTCGACTAAAAGATACTCTTGGGTGGTTTATACATGTTACAATCATAAAACATCATATCAACAGGCATAATTTAACAAGAATACATTTCTGTAGTATGTGAATATTTCATGCCTTTTTATTGCACATTTTATATTGTATACTTAATACCTGCATAATATTATCATGACTTTACAATATTGCATGTTTGTTAAAACAACTATATTTTCTTATTATTTGCAGATAAGGAATCTTGGGTGTAATTGTAAATTATGTGTTCATTGTGTAAGGGAGAACTTTGAGATAATGATACGTGAGAGACATGTGAGGAATATGAACTGTCCAATGTGTAGTCTGCCTGACATGGAGAATATTGATGCTGCCTCAGATTATCTGTCTTTCCTTACATTACTTGTAAGTTACAGTAAAATCTATATAAGCTGAATGCCTCAGACTATCTGTCTTTCCTTACATTACTTGTAAGTTACAGTAAAATCTATATAAGCTGAATGCCTCAGACTATCTGTCTTTCCTTACATTACTTGTAAGTTACAGTAAAATCTATATAAGCTGAATGCCTCAGACTATCTGTCTTTCTTTACATTACTTGTAAGTTACAGTAAAATCTATATAAGCTGAATGCCTCAGACTATCTGTCTTTCTTTACATTACTTGTAAGTTACAGTAAAATCTATATAAGCTGAATGCCTCAGACTATCTGTCTTTCCTTACATTACTTGTAAGTTACAGTAAAATCTATATAAGCTGAATGCCTCAGATTATCTGTCTTTCCTTACATTACTTGTAAGTTACAGTAAAATCTATATAAACTGAATGCCTCAGACTATCTGTCTTTCCTTACATTACTTGTAAGTTACTGTAAAATCTATATAGACTGAATGCCTCAGACTATCTGTCTTTCCTTACATTACTTGTAAGTTACAGTAAAATCTATATAAGCTGAATGCCTCAGACTATCTGTCTTTCCTTACATAACTTGTAAGTTACAGTAAAATCTATATAAGCTGAATGCCTCAGACTATCTGTCTTTCCTTACATTACTTGTAAGTTACAGTAAAATCTATATAAGCTGAATGCCTCAGATTATCTGTCTTTCCTTACATTACTTGTAAGTTACAGTAAAATCTATATAAACTGAACCACTTATGAACAAGATTTAGGTCACATTTAAAACTTACTTGCTTTGAACAAATTTAATTTGTTACAAGTATAGTTTGTTTGTGTGTTCTTAAACTAGAGCTTAATTAGGTCATTATTACTACTGTTTTTGGTATATTCAACTTTAGACAGTAGTTAACCACAGTTGCACTGAAAAACATGGGCTATCAATAGGGATCATATTTATTGTATTCATAGTGTAATCCAATTTGTAAAAATATAAGAATTATCTTCCTTTTATTTATTAAACAAAACCTTCATTGTCTCTTAGTAATATATGTAGGAGGTCATCAGTTCCATCCCATTGTTTTAACTAAAGAAGAAAATTAACTTTTCTATTAAGCTCAAGCTTAGAACATTTCCCAAATTGAATAATATATCTCTCTGTGGATTGTTACCTTGTCACCTGGCAAGCTTACAATCTGACTCATTAATTCAAAACCTATTTAATTATTATTAGTCAAGTGCAAAGCAGAAAATATTTATAAGTATGAATAAAAGGTGATTTGGGGTATATGTCAATAAGACATCAACTTATGGTAAACAAAATTTATAGTTGAGAAAATTTATTAACATTTGCATGGGTATGAGTATGAAATTAAGTCCTCCTTAATATACTAAGTACCAATAGAAACAAAACACTTTCTGTTGAATAAGAATTCAAACCAACAGAGCTTTCCTATTTTGAGATCCAAATGTTTACAAATTCCACATATTAAACCATAATTTATTTTAGTGGTTGCAATTTACCACCATAAGAACTCAAAGATTATTAAAAGTGGTTGGGTTTAACAATTACCCTTTACATTTGGTTCATTGTGGTCACATTTAATGAACTTATGAGAAAAACAAAAAAATTCTTAACTTAAAAAAGGTGACGAAGACCGATCTGTTTGCGTAATATCGAAGCCAATTTACTTTGGGCAATGTAAGTTGTTAAACGGCCCAGTTAAGTTAAGTTTCTACAGTTTACATGTGTTTAAGTTGTAATTTGGGCAATGTAAGTTGTCAAACGGCCCAGTTCAGTTAAGTTTCTTCAGTTTACATATGTTTAAGTTGTACTTTGGGCAATGTAAGTTGTCAAACGGCCCAGTTAAGTTAAGTTCTACAGCTTACATGTGTTTAAATTGTACTTTGCAGCTACAGACCATGGTACCTCAGGATATGATGGAATTATTTCATTCCAAATTACGAGACTGGCATTTACAGAAAGATCCAAACTTTAGATGGTGTGTTCATGTAAGTGCAAGAAGCCATATTTTATTTTTATTTACACATGGTATGATGATGTTATCCCTTTGATTTGAAATTTTCATTAAGATTGAAAATGATACCTTTTTAATTAAAGAATTCACATACTTTAGGTAGTATTGAAATTTAGTATGCACTTTTAATGCACAATTTTTTTATGGCCCCGCAACAAAGTTGTCGGGGCCATATAGTTTTACCCTTGTCCGTCATTCCGTCATTCCGTCATTCCGTCATTCCGCAACAAACCATTATACGCTATTTTTTTCTAAACGCCTTCAGATATTGGGCTGATTTTTGGTATGTGAGTTAACCATGATGAGTTTCAGATCAAGTTTAAGTTTCGTTCCGCTCTGCTAATTTTTGCCCGAAATTAAGCGCTTTGGACTTTGATAAATTGTTGAAAATCACAGTTATACAGACTTTTTTTCTAAACGCCTTCAGATATTGGGCTGATTTTTGGTATGTGAGTTAACCATGATGAGTTACAGATCAAGTTTAAGTTTCATTCCGCTCTGCAAATTTTTGCTGAAATTACGTGCTTTGGATTTTGATAAATAGTTGAAAATCACAGTTATACAGACTTTTATTCTATACGCCTTCAGATATTGGGCTGTTTTTATGCCCCTGCCGTAGCGGTGGGGGCATTAAGTTTTACCCTTGTCCATCTGTACGTGACGTACGTACGTCCATCCGTATGTCCCAAAATTGGTTTCCGTTCTCTAACTTGAGTTTGCCTCAACAAAATGTCATGAAACTTATACACAATGCTTATTACCACAAAACACAAATCAAGTTTGAATTTTGGTGGCGTCACTTTAACCGTTCTAGAGTTATGCCCCTTTATAAATGGAAAAATTGCAAAATTTTTAGTTTCCGTTCTCTAACTTAAGTTTGCCTCAACCAAATGTTATGAAACTTATATACAATGCTTATTACCACAAAACACAGATCAAGTTTGAATTTTGGTGGCGTCACTTTTACCGTTCTAGAGTTATGCCCCTTTATGAATGGAAAAATTGCAAAATTTTTAGTTTCCGTTCTCTAACTTAAGTTTGCCTCAACCAAATGTTATGAAACTTATACACAATGCTTATTACCACAAAACACAGATCTAGTTTGAATTTTGGTGGCGTCACTTTAACCGTTCTATAGTTATGCCCCTTTATAAATGGAAAAATTGCAAAAATTTTATTTTCTTCTAAATATCAAGTAATTTTTAAAATTGGAGTTATCTTCCTTTGTCCATGATTATAGTTGAATCAACTACAATCAATGCTTTATACAATGCAATGTTTAATTTTGACTTCCACTGATAAAACACAGATCCAGTTGAATTTGGGTAGTGTCACTGTAACCATTATTGAGTTATGCCCCTTTATAAATCGAAAGATTGCAAAATTTTTAGTTTCCATTCTGTAACTTAAGTTTGCCCCAACCAAAGATTATGAAACCTATACACAATATTCATACCACAAAACTAAGATCAAGTACAAATTTTTTGTTTCCATTTTCTAACAAGTTTGCCTCAACCAAATGTTATGAAACTTATACACAATGCTTATTACTACATAATACAGATTAAGTATGAAATTAGGTGGCGACACTTTTAACATTCTTGAGTTATGTCCCTTTATAAACATAAAAATTGCTGAGTTTTTTAGTTTGTCTAAACCAAATGTTATAAAACTTATACACAACCGTTCTAGAGTTATGCGTGTTTACAAATAGAAAAATTGCTGAATTTTTAGTTTCTATTCTCTACTTAAGTTAGCCTTAACCAAATGTGATGAGACTTACACACAATGCTTATTACCACAAAACTCAGATCAAGTTCAAATTTGGGTAGCGTCACTTTTACCGTTCTTCAGTTATGTCCCTTTATAACTATATGATATGCAAGCGGGGGCATCATCTGTGTCCACATGTGGACACTATCCACATTTATTTTGGTATGTGAGGCAACCATGGTCATCAAACTAGTATTGGTCTTGAGAGCTGGATACTATCCATGCATGTTTGTGTCCACATGTGTTGTTAAAATTGCAGATTCTTCATCTTTTTGAGATGGGGCCATTCGTGTCGTTCCGACACATCTAGTTTTAAATTGTACTGATATCCATTAATTGAAATAAATTTTGAAGTTTCATATTTCAGTACTGATTTTTTTATTTGATTTGAATTTCAATTTATTTATAGAAATTATAATAAATATATATTAAAGTTTTAACAAATTTCTTTGACCAATTCTACTTGTCATATAAAAGTAAAGATAGTCATTATGAATTGTAATTAATATGACTTCTTACATTGTAGTGTGGCAATGGGTTTATTTGGGCAGCTGGAAACCAGACACTGATGATGGCATGCCCTACATGCAAGAAAGGAACATGTTTTAATTGCAAGAAAATGGTGAGAAGAATTTTTAATCAGAAATTAACAATAACTATTAGTTGGTAATTTTAGGTAGAATTTTTCAATTTTTTTTATTTCAGGCCTTAGAGTCATAAAACTTTGGAGTATGATTATTGTACTCAGACATGAAATCAATCAATAAAATACTGGATTTGAGCACTCGTTTTGTACTCTGAGTACTGAGTATAGTTTTATGACTAAGGCAAGATCCCTGTATTATTTGATGGAACTGGGATGGCTTGTAAGGCATAAGTAAACACAATTTTGACCAGTTGCATGGACATTGGTGTTTTAATGATTTCACTTATTGTAACTAATTTTTTTTCAAATGTACTTTTGAATATATATCATCACTGACATCTGAAAAATATTTGTACTTTTTCATATTTGATTTGTCATTTTTACACTTATAATTAGTGGGAAGATCAGCATGCAGGTTTAACTTGTGAACAGTATGCTCAGTGGAAGATTGATAATGATCCAGAAAATCAAACCGCTGGCTTAGCTAGATACTTAGAAGATAATGGCATTGGTAAGTTTTATTACAGGTGTTTATTACATACCTCATGTGTTTATTACATAGTGCATGTTTTTATTACGTAGTTCATGTGTTTATTACATACCTCATGTGTTTATTACATAGTGCATGTTTTTATTATGTAGTTCATGTTTTTATACATAGTGCATGTGTTTATTACGTAGTGCATGTTTTTATTACATAGTGCATGTTTTTATTACATAGTTCATGTGTTTATTACATAGTTCATGTCATGTTAAATTAATTAACAATCTATTGAGTTATTGTTTAATATTTTTAAAAAAATTATTGAAATTGTTTAATTACATTGTATGTGAGTTGAATTCCCAAGGTCAACATTATTGTTAGTCAGTAAAAATAAAAGCAGACATGGGTATTCAACAATAGGACAGCATTTTAACAATACAAAAATGAAAAGACATCTAGAGGTCTTCAATAATAGACAAGTGACAATATGTTAAGCTCTTTATTTCCCTCAGTCAAGTAAAGTTGTAAAAAATTTAACAGATACTACAGTATAGCGGGGTTTTCTCGCGGGTGTAAAATTTCACGATTTAGGGGCAACAAAGTATACGAAAAATTTTGGCAGATTCCTCAATTCCAATGAAATATTTTGGCGGATACTGAAATGGTTGCAGTTAAAAAGTTGTAAAAATTGACAAACAAGTGTCTGTTGTTATAGTTGAATGATTGTTTTATCTGCATGACGTCTTATTTATTGATTACATTTTGACACAGTTAATCAATAGAATACCAGTACTTAGATATTTGTCACAGGCGTACACACGTCTTGTTAATGTTACAGTTGATTTGTTATGACCTTTGATGTACTAATTAGATTATAAAATTATCAAGAGTGACTTGCTACTGTTATATAATTTGACACACTAATTAATAAGGGTAAAATACTGACAGAGTACCTTACACTCTGATATTATTTGACACCAATAAACTAATTAACACCTGATAGCCATTTTATAATTTTTATAAAATATATAGACGTTTACAAAACGCTGTTGTTATTAGAAAGTATCGAAGGTATGCATAAATTTTCATGGAATTTATTTTCGTGATTTTCCTTTACCCGCTAAAATAAACACCCCGCTATACGGTATAATAAATATGCCATCAATACTAAATTCCCAGAATGGCAAAAACTGTTAAGACATAACAAACAACAACCACTAAGGAGATTCACGGACTTGTGGTAAGCAGTTGAAGTTGTGGTACACTAATATTAGTTTTTTAAATTTCAACCCGCCCTGTTTTAATTTAGATCAAGCCTGTGTTTCACAAAAATTCTTACAACGAAAGTTGATGACAAGTACCCTGAATTGTTCATGACTTACAACCAATTTAAGTTGTAAGATTTTTTTGTGAAACCCAGGCCAGATGAATAACAAAAGATACCGGTACTTAAAAGAATTTACAATAAAATCAGCACTTAACTATAATCCTGGTGACTATTAAAAAACATGTACAAGAAATGAAATTTGAATTTATTTTAATATTCACTCAAAATTAACCAAACCATAAGTCTTGGAATCTGAATTTTTTTCCATTTGATATTGCAGAATATTTTAATTTATAAATCTATCAACAATATTTCATTCCCATTGAAATTTTTCTATACCTATGCGGGAAAGAAAATATATATCACAAACAATTTTTATATGGCTGAATTTAATGTATAATATTTGTTCATAAATTTGTACTTGCTAGCATCTATCAAAGATCAAAATGATGCTTCAAATTCAAATTTATTCAGATATTTCAGGTGTGGTAAGAACAATTGTTTTCTCTGGGAAGAACTTCTTCCTTAGCAGTAGAATCTTCAGAGCCTAATGGCAAAAATTATAAAACATAGATCATACTTTACTGGATTAAAGACCAACATTATTATTATCTTTTTAATCTTTAGATTGTCCAAGTTGTAAGATGAAGTATTCATTAGCTAAAGGTGGATGTATGCATTTTAAGTGTCCACAATGTGGATTTGAGTTCTGTAGTGGATGTTCACAGCCTTTTCATCAGAAAGGGGTGAGTTTTCATTATTATAAACATGTTTTACTTGTTTAATAGCTTTGATTAATAAATATTAAATCATAGTTTCAATTTGAGGAAGAAAAAAACAATTCTGGAAGATCAGTATTTTATTATCAAACGACCCAAATGATGAAAGTCCAATGGCAAATATTTCATGCATTGCAGGTTAAGAAACCAATTTAACAATAAGTAGGTTCTGCAAAGTAGTTCAGGGTGTAGGAATTTAGACTGTCACCTATAGATCCTTCAAAGTGTTGTTGCAGAGGTTCTTTTACTCGCAAAGCGAGTCACACTTTCTCAAGAGGAAATAGTGGACTAAATGTTCCCATTCCAATTGGAAGTGGCTGTGTATCAGGAAGTCCATCTGACCAGTCAGTTGAAAACTTGAATAAATCAAGTTAATTTGTCAGTCTTGATAAACATATGCTGAAATACTGAGTCAAGTATTAAAATCGTATGATTTTTTTGGGGGGGCAATCAATACTTTGTCAATCCAATCAATACTATGTCATTCCAATTAATACTGTGTCTTTCCAATCAATACTTTTTCAATCCAATCAATACTATCTCAATCAGATAAATACTATGTCATTCCAACCAAGACATGTCATTCCAATTGTTCAATTGGTCAAGATCTATCAGCTCTGAAATTTTCAGACGAATCGAACAACCCATTAATGGGTTGCTGCCACTGAATTGGTAGTTTTAACAAAATTTTGTGTTTTTTTGTTATTATTTTGAATATTATTGTAGATATATATAAACTGTAAGCAGCAATAATGTTCAGCAAAGTAAGATCTACAAAAAAGTTAACATGACCATAATTGTCAATTGACCCCTTAAGGAGTTTTTGCCCTTTAAAGACAATTTTACACAATTTGTTCATCAAGTTTGCTAACATTTAAAAATCTTCTCCTCTGAAACTACTGGGCCAATTACCTTCAAACTTTAACTAAATGTTCCTTAGGGTATCTTGTTTATAAATTGTATCCGAAGTTTGTATCCATCGACAAACATGGCCGCCATGGCTAAAAATAGAACATAAGGGTCAAATGCAGTTTTTTGCTTATATCTCAAAAACTAAATCTTTTAGAGCAAATGTGACAAGGGGTAAAATTGTTTAATTGGTCCCTGAAATTATCAGACTAATGGAACAACCCATTGTTGGGTTGCTGCCACCGAATTGGTAGTTTTAACAAAATTTTGCAGTTTTTTGTTATTATTTTGAATATTACTATAGATATATGTAAACTGTAAGCAGCAATAATGTTCAGCAAAGTAAGATCTACAAAAAAGTTAATATGACCAAAATTGTCAATTGACCCCTTAAGGAGTTATTGCCCTTTAAAGACAATTTTACACAATTTGTTCATCAAGTTTGCTAACATTTAAAAATCTTCTCCTCTGAAATACAGGTGAGCGATTCAGGCTCTTGAGAGCCTCTTGTTTGTAGGTTTTTGTAGAAAATACAGATCATGTCTTGGCCAAGGCTTACATTGTCTATTGTTCCTTTTTTGTAGGTTTGTAGAAAATACAGATCATGTCTTGGCCAAGGCTTACATTGTCTATCGTTCCTGTTTTGTAGGTTTGTAGAAAATACAGATCATGTCTTGGCCAAGGCTTACATTGTCTATCGTTCCTGTTTTGTAGGTTTTTGTAGAAAATACAGATCATGTCTTGGCCAAGGCTTACATTGTCTATTGTTCCTTTTTTGTAGGTTTGTAGAAAATACAGATCATGTCTTGGCAAAGGCTTACATTGTCTATCGTTCCTGTTTTGTAGGTTTGTAGAAAATACAGATCATGTATTGGCCAAGGCTTACATTGTCTATTGTTCCTTTTTTGTAGGTTTGTAGAAAATACAGATCGTGTCTTGGCCAAGGCTTACATTGTCTATTGTTCCTTTTTTGTAGGTTTGTAGAAAATACAGATCATGTCTTGGCAAAGGCTTACATTGTCTATTGTTCCTTTTTTGTAGGTTTGTAGAAAATACAGATCGTGTCTTGGCCAAGGCTTACATTGTCTATTGTTCCTTTTTTGTAGGTTTGTAGAAAATACAGATCATGTCTTGGCAAAGGCTTACATTGTCTATTGTTCCTTTTTTGTAGGTTTGTAGAAAATACAGATCATGTCTTGGCCAAGGCTTACATTGTCTATTGTTCCTTTTTTGTAGGTTTGTAGAAAATACAGATCATGTATTGGCAAAGGCTTACATTGTCTATTGTTCCTTTTTTGTAGGTTTGTAGAAAATACAGATCATGTCTTGGCCAAGGCTTACATTGTCTATCGTTCCTTTTTTGTAGGTTTGTAGAAAATACAGATCATGTCTTGGCCAAGGCTTACATTGTCTATTGTTCCTTTTTTGTAGGTTTGTAGAAAATACAGATCATGTATTGGCAAAGGCTTACATTGTCTATCGTTCCTTTTTTGTAGGTTTGTAGAAAATACAGATCATGTCTTGGCAAAGGCTTACATTGTCTATTGTTCCTGTTTTGTAGGTTTGTAGAAAATACAGATCATGTCTTGGCCAAGGCTTACATTGTCTGTTGTTCCTTTTTTGTAGGTTTGTAGAAAATACAGATCATGTCTTGGCCAAGGCTTACATTGTCTATTGTTCCTTTTTTGTAGGTTTGTAGAAAATACAGATCATGTCTTGGCCAAGGCTTACATTGTCTATTGTTCCTTTTTTGTAGGTTTGTAGAAAATACAGATCATGTCTTGGCAAAGGCTTACATTGTCTATTGTTCCTTTTTTGTAGGTTTGTAGAAAATACAGATCATGTCTTGGCCAAGGCTTACATTGTCTATTGTTCCTTTTTTGTAGGTTTGTAGAAAATACAGATCATGTCTTGGCCAAGGCTTACATTGTCATCACCCTAGAAATTGTTTGTATTATCTACGAGATGAAGATTTTGATGACTTACAGAAATTACTCAAGGTTAGTACCATGATATTCAGCAAAATATGTTGCAAGTGACCTTAAACTTCAGAAAGTATTGCAAAAATCAGAAAGACATTTCATTTCTCCTTCTGGTTCCTTCTTTTCACTTTTTTATCTGTCACCTGACAATGATAAAAAAAAAAAAAAAGAATACTGAACAGATTAACAAAACCAATCACTTAATAGACCACTTTCGAGTTCGTTGCATTTCCGTCAAACATTTTTATACGACCGCAAAAAAATTATGTGGTCGTATATTGGTATGACGTTGGTGTCGTCGTCGTCCGAAGACACATTGGTTTTCACACTCTAACTTTAGTTTAAGTGAATGGATCTCTATAAAATATTACCATAAGGTTCAAAAGGAAGGTGGGGATTGATTTTGGGGGTTATGGTACCAACAGTTAAGGAATTAGGGGCCAAAAATAAGCATTTTTGTAACTTCCAGACATAACTTGTGTGTAAGTGTATGGATCTCTCTGACATTGTACCACAAGGTTCCACATCACATAGGGAATGCTGGGATTGATTTTGGGGGTAATTGCCTCCAAATTTTAGGAATTAGGGGCCAAAAAGGGGCAAAAAACAAGCATTTTTCTAGTTTCATGACAATAACTTGTGTGTAAGTGTATGGATCTCTCTGGCATTGTACCACAAGGTTCCATATCACAAAGGGAATGCTGGGATTGATTTTGGGGGTAATTGTCTCAAAATTTTAGGAATTAGGGGCCAAAAAGGGGCAAAAAACAAGCATTTTTCTAGTTTCATGACAATAACTTGTGTGTAAGTGTATGGATCTTTATGAAATTGTACTACAAGGTTCCATATCACGAAGGGAAAGCTGGAATTGATTTTGGGGGTAATTGCCCACAACGTTTAGGAATAAGGGGCCAAAAATAAGCATTTTTCTAGTTTTCAGACAATAACTTGTGTTCAAGTGTATGGATCTCTCTGAAATTGTACTGCAAGGTACCATACCACAAAAGGAATGCTGGGATTGATTTTGGGGGTAATTCCCTAGAAATTTGAGGAATTAGGGGCCATAAAGGGGCAAAAAAACAAGCATTTTTCTAGTTTCAGGACAATAACTTGTGTGTAAGTGTATGGATCTTTATGAAATTGTACTGCAAGGTTCCATATCACAAAGGGAAAGCTGGGTTTGAGTTTGGGGGTAATTGCCCTAAATGTTTAGGAATTTGGGGCCAAAAAGGGGCCAAAAAACAAGCATTTTTCTAGTTTCCAGACAATAATTTGTGTTCAAGTGTATGGATCTCTCTGAAAATGTACTCATACATGTGAACCTCCCGACGGGAGTACAATAATCCCGTTTTCAGGGGTCTCCTCATCCCGACCTCCCGTTGAAAAAAAAAAAATCCCGTGTATGAAATATTTCATGAATGAAAAATTTCAGCCCAACATATCTGGTGTAACTGACATTACCTGAAGTTATATTTTACCTGTAAATCAATTAACATGCATAATTATATGGCTTCACTTGTCACTTTGGGTGTCAAACATACTGGTAATCAACGATTTTTACCTCAGGCTAACTGCTGTTGTGTAATAAAACTTTGTGTATTTAAAATGAATGTTGGGTTACTTCCCTTGATTTATCCTGTTTTAAGTTACTTTCCTTTAAATAATGTAAATTTTTAAAAGAATATAAATAAAATATAAATTGAACAAATAATCATAAAAGGATGGTAATTAAATGATTATAAATGTCTTAGGACAAATAAAAAAATAATAATTTGAAAATTATTTGAGGGTTCTATACTTCCTTTCAAGGCTTAAATTGAAATTTATATAATAACTATGACCCCTGTTTACAGTTTGAATGTGTTACTTATCATGCATTTAAAATCTACTTGCATAAAGATAAAAATAAAAAATCTACTTGCAGATAGATAAGCAAATGTTCTGATTGCAATGAATAATGGTAAAAAAGATATGACCTAAAAAATTTAAAGAACATACTAAAAAAGAAGAATGTTAGATTGAACAAGTTGAAAGTTTAAAAAGATAGAGGAAATTTATAAGTACAAGGGTACTATAAACATAATACATTCGGATGGAAAGTTGAAGAAAACACACTTTAACAGACAATTTCTACAGCACACGGTTACATTCACGACAGAATTTATGTCGATTAAAAACCTCCTGATCTGAGTCCTAATCTCCTGACCAAAATTTCCCAAACTCCTGATCTTAGTTTCACAGTCCATCACATGTATGTGTACTGCAAGGTACCATACCACAAAGGGAAGGCTGGGATTGAGTTTGGGGGTGATGAATCATAAGGGGGTTCAAAAAATTGGGGGGGGGGGGATCTTCGTGCCAAGTGAGCTTTTCTCATCACTTGGCATCCGTCGTCGTTAGCTTTTTACAAAAATCTTCTCCTCTGAAACCACTGGGCCAAATTTAACCAAACTTGGCCACAATCATCATTAGGGTGTCTAGTTTAAAAAATGTGTCCGATGACCCCCGCCAACCAACCAAGATGGCCGCCATGGCTAAAAATAGAACATAGGGGTAAAATGTAGATTTTGGCTTATATCTCTGAAACCAAAGCATTTAGAGTAAATCTTACAAGGGTAAAACTGATTATCAGGTCAAGATCTATCTGCCCTGAAATTTTCAGACAAATCGGACAACCTGTTGTTGGGTTGCTGCCCCTGAATTGGTAATTTTAAGGAAATTTTGCAGTTTTTATACGACCGCAAAAATTTTTGCGGTCGTATATTGGTATGACGTTGGCGTCGTCGTCGTCGTCTGGCGTCGTCCGGCGTCGTACGAAGACACATTGGTTTTCGCACTCTTACTTTAGTTTAAGTGAATGGATCTCTATGAAATTTTACCATAAGGTTCAATACCACAAAAGGAAGGTTGGGATTGATTTTGGGGGTTTTGGTACCAACAGTTAAGGAATTAGGGGCCAAAAAGGGGCCAAAAATAAGCATTTTTGTAACTTCCAGACATAACTTGTGTGTTAGTGTATGGATCTCTCTGACATTGTACCACAAGGTTCCATATCACAAAGGGAATGCTGGGATTGATTTTGGGGGTAATTGCCTCAAAATATTAGGAATTAGGGGCAAAAAAAGGGGCTAAAAAACAAGCATTTTTCTAGTTTCATGACAATAACTTGTGTGAAAGTGTATGAATCTTTCTGAAATTGTACTACAAGGTTCCATATCACAAGGGAGAAACTGGAATTGAGTTTGGGGGTAATTGCCCTAAACGTTTAGGAATAAGGGGCCAAAAAAGGGCCAAAAATAAGCATCTTTTTTAGTTTCCAGACAATAACTTGTGTTCAAGTGTATGGATCTCTCTGAAATTGTACTGCAAGGTACCATACCACAAAGGGAAGGCTGGGATTGAGTTTGGGGGTGATGAATCATAAGGGGGTTCAAAAAATTTGGGGGGGGGGGGGAGATTTTTATTTTTTTTCCTTTTTTTTCTTTTTTTCCTTTTTTGTCGAGCCTGCGACTTTTGTCGCAGAAAGCTCGACATAGGGATAGCGATCCGGCGGCGGCGGCGGCGGCGGCTACGGCGGCGGCGGCGGCGGCGGCGTTAGCTAACTTCTTAAAAGCTTTATATTTTAGAAGGTGGAAGACCTGGATGCTTCATACTTTGTATATGGATGCCTCATGTTACGAAGTTTCCGTCAGTCACATGTCCAATTTCCTTGACCTCATTTTCATGGTTCAGTGACTACTTGAAAAAAAAGTTCAGATTATTTGTAATGTTAAATTCTCTCTTATTATAAGTAATAGGATAACTATATTTAGTATGTGCGTACCTTGCAAGGTCCTCATGCCTGTCAGACAGTTTTCACTTGACCTCGACCTCATTTCATGGATCAGTGAACAAGGTTAAGTTTTGGTGGTCAAGTCCATATCTCAGATACTATAAGCAATAGGTCTAGTATATTTGGTGTATGGAAGGACTGTAAGGTGTACATGTCCAACTGGCAGGTGTCATCTGACCTTGACCTCATTTTCATGGTTCAGTGGTTATAGTTAAGTTTTTGTGTTTTGGTCTGTTTTTCTTATACTGTATGCAATAGGTCTATTATATTTGGTGTATGGAATGATTGTAAGTTGTACATGTCCAACTGGCAGGTGTCATCTGACCTTGACCTCATTTTCATGGTTCAGTGGTTATAGTTAAGTTTTTGTGTTTTGGTCTGTTTTTCTTATACTGTATGCAATAGGTCTATTATATTTGGTGTATGGAATGATTGTAAGGTGTACATGTCCAACTGGCAGGTGTCATCTGACCTTGACCTCATTTTCATGGTTCAGTGGTTATAGTTAAGTTTTTGTGTTTTGGTCCGTTTTTCTTATACTTTATCCAATAGGTCTACTATATTTGGTGTATGGAATGATTGTAAGGTGTACATGTCCAACTGGCAGGTGTCATCTGACCTTGACCTCATTTTCATGGTTCAGTGGTTAAAGTTAAGTTTTAGTGTTTTGGTCCGTTTTTCTTATACTTTATCCAATAGGTCTACTATATTTGGTGTATGGAATGATTGTAAGGTGTACATGTCCAACTGGCAGGTGTCATCTGACTTTGACCTCATTTTCATGGTTCAGTGGTCAAAGTTAAGTTTTTGAGTTTTGGTCTTTTTTCTTATACTATTATGCAATAAGTCAACTATATTTGGTGTATGGAAATATTCTATGATGTACATGTCAGTCTCGCAGGTTTTATTTGACCTTGACCTCATTTTCACAGTTCATTGCTCAGTGTTAAGTTTATGTGTTTCAGTCTGTTTTTCTTAAACTATAAGCAATAGGTCAGCTATATTTGTTGTATGGAAGGATTGTAAGCTGTTCATGTCTGCCTGGCATGGTTCATCTGACTTTGACCTCATTTTCACGATTCATTGGTCAATGTTTAGTTTTCTTGGTTAAGTCTGTTTCTTAGAAACTATAAGCAATAGGTCAACTATATTTAGTGTATTGAATGATTGTAAGGTGTACATGTATTTCTTGTTTGGTTTATATGACCTTGACTTCATTTTCTTGGATCATGTTAAGTTTATGTAATAGTTGTAGTAAAGCTTTCATTTAGGACTATCAACATAATATCAATGGTTAGTAAAGAAGGCGAGACATTTCAGCGTGTCCACTCTTGTTTTTTCTTTTAAAATTTTCCATTTTAAGTTGGTTATTTCTGATTTATATTTAAAAGCAAATAATAATGATATGGTAGGAGATACACACCAAACAGGATGTGTAAATTATTATATAATAAGTATTGTGCAATAGCAAGAAATTTTCAATTGCACAGTATTGCACAATAGCAAGAAATCTTCAATTGCACAGTATTGCGCAATAGCAAGAAATCTTCAATTGCACAGTATTGTGCAATAGCAAGAAATATCCAATAGCACAATATTGCGCAATAGCAAGAAATTGTCAATTGTACAGTATTGCGCAATAGCAAGAAATATTTAATTGCACAGTATTGTGCAAAAGAAGATACTTCCTATAAATTGCTTATTTCTTGACCAATTTCAATGGGGTTTTATTCTTGAATTCTTGGGGTTCTTTAATATGCTGAATCTAACCGTGTATTTAGTTTTTGGATTTTGGGCCCGTTTTTAAATTGGTCCACATTGAGGTCCAAAGGGTCCAAAATTAAACTTTGTTTGATTTCATCAAAAATTGAATTATTGGGGTTCTTTGATATGCCGAATCTAACCGTGTATTTAGATTCTTAATTTTTGGTTCCGTTTTCAAATTGGTCTACATTAAGGTCCAAAGGGTCCAAAATTAAACTTAGTTTGATTTTAACAAAAATTGAATTCTTAGGGTTCTTTGATATGCTGAATCTAAACATGTATTTAGATTTTTGATTATGGGCCCAGTTTTTAAGTTGGTCCAAATCTGGGTCCAAAATTAAACTTTGTTTGATTTCAACAAAAATTGAATATATGGGGTTCTTTGATATGCTGAATCTAACCATGTATTTAGATTTTTGATTTTTGGGCCCCGTTATCAACTTTGTCCACATTGAGGTCAAAAGGGTCCAAAATTAAACTTTGTTTGATTTCATCAAAAATTGAATTCTTGGGGTTCTTTGATATGCTGAATCTAACCATGTATTTAGATTTTGGATATTGGACCATAATAGGTGAATGTCCAATTTAAAATTTTTAAGTTCTTAGACCACATTCATTCTGTGTCAGAAACCTATGCTGTGTCAAATATTTAATCACAATCCAAATTCAGAGCTGTATCAAGCTTGAATGTTGTGTCCATACTTGACCCAACTGTTCAGGGTTCGACCTCTGCGGTCGTATCAAGCTGCGCCCTGCGGAGCATTTTATTGGTTATTATCTTGAATATTATTAAGTCTCTCAAACGAAGTTTGGGAAGACTTATTGTTTCTGCTCAGTTCTTATTATTATTATTATTATTCTTCTTCTTCTTCTTCCTCTTCCGCCGCTTTTAAATTTGAACTTGTCCGCACCCGTTCTCCAAAACCGCTAGTCAGATTAACTTAGGGTTTCACAATATGTTAGACTAACATGTCTAGTGGTGCAATCAGGGTTTTGTTTGTGCAATGGGGTTTATGAAGGGGTACTTTGAGGGGCAAAAAGAAAAGAAGGTTTTACTATAGAACCCTATGGGATTTTATTTTTTAAAATTTTCAAATGATTATAAATTGAAAACCGTTTGTGATAGACACAATCTTTTTAATTGAAAATGTTCTAAATGATAAAGCCCATTTAATGAAATACAGGGTTAGTCCCCAGGGGTCACCCCCACCCCTGCCATTTAAGAAAGTTCTAATACCTTGTAAGTGGTCAAGATCCCCACCCCTAAACCATATATATTTTGGTTTGTCATGCTAAGATGGTTTGAATGATATACAGGGTTAGTCCCCAGGGGTCATCCCGACCCCCTGCCATTTGAGAAAGTTCTAATATCTTGTAAATGGTCGAGATCCCCACCCCTAAACCATATATATTCTGGTTTGTCATGATAAAGCACATCAAATGTAATACAGGGTTAGTCCCCAGGGGTCACCCCCACCCCATGCCATTTAAGAAAGTTCTAATATCTTCTAAGTGGTCAAGATCCCCACCCCTAAACCATATATATTCTGGTTTGTCATGCTAAGATGGTTTGAATGATATACAGGGTTAGTCCCCAGGGGTCATCCCGACCCCCTGCCATTTGAGAAAGTTCTAATATCTTGTAAATGGTCGAGATCCCCACCCCTAAACCATATATATTCTGGTTTGTCATGATAAAGCACATCAAATGAAATACAGGGTTAGTCCCCAGGGGTCACCCCAACCCCTGCCATTAAAGAAAGTTCTAATATCTTTGTAAGTGGTCAAGATCCCCACTCCTAAACCATATATATTCTGGTTTGTCATGCGAAGATGGTTTGAATGATATACAGGGTTAGTCCCCAGGGGTCATCCCGACCCCCTGCCATTTGAGAAAGTTCTAATATCTTGTAAATGGTTGAGATCCCCACCCCTAAACCATATATATTCCTGTTCGTCATGTAACGAATATTTGAATGACGTATAGGGTCAGTCCCCAGGGGTTCCCCCTACCCCCAATGTTCTAGTATCTTGTAAATGGTCGAGATCCCCACCCCTAAACCATATATATTCTGGTTTGTCATGCCAAGATGATTTGAATGATATACAAGGTTAGTCCCCAGGCATCACTAATGCATATAACTTTACTGGACCAAGCCAATTTTCACTGGACGTTGCCCAATGTCAGGCGACCCTGGGAATTACGAATTATGGGAGCTTCGTTTGGGAGACTTCGTAACAGCATCCTGTTACAATCATTTCTTGTTATAGATAGAGATAAACTGTAAACAGCAATAATGTTCAGCAAAGTAAGATCTACAAATAAGTTGTCATGACCAAAATTATCAGTCGACCCCTTTAGGAGTTATTGCCCTTAATAGTCAATTTTTAACAATTTTTTGTAAATTTTTGTAATCTTTTACAAAAATCTTCTTCTCTGAAACTACTGAGACAAATTTTACCATACTTGGCCATAATCATTATTAGGGTATCTAGTTTAAAAAATTTGTCCGATGACCCCGCCTTCCAACCATCATGGCCGACTTGGTTAAAAATAGAACATAGGGGTAAAATGCAGTTTTTGGTTTATATCTCTGAAACTAAAGCATTTAGAGCAAATCTGACAGGTGGCAAAAATGTTCATCAGATTTAGATTTATCTGCACTGAAATTTTCAGACGAATAAGACAACCTGTTGTTGGGTTGCTGCCCCTGAGTTAGTAATTTTACAAAAATTTTACAGTTTTTATACGACCGCAAAAATATTTTTGTGGTCGTATATTGGTATGACGTTGGCGTCGTCGTCGTCGTTGTCGTTGTCGTCGTCGTCCGAAGACACATTAGTTTTCGCACTCTAACTTTAGTTTAAGTGAATGGATCTCTATGAAATTTTACCACAAGGTTCAATACCACAAAAGGAAGGTTGGGATTGATTTTGGGGGTTATGGTACTAACAGTAAAGGAATTAGGGGCCAAAAAGGGGCCAAAAATAAGCATTTTTGTAACTTCCAGACATAACTTATGTGTTAGTGTATGGATCTCTCTGACATTGTACCACAAGGTTCCATATCACAAAAGGAATGCTGGGATTGATTTTGGGGGTAATTACCTCAAAATTTTAGGAATTAGGGGCAAAAAATGGGGCAAAAAACAAGCATTTTTCTAGTTTCATGACAATTACTTGTGTGTAAGTGTATGGATCTTTCTGAAATTGTACTACAAGGTTCCATATCACAAAGGGAAAGCTGGAATTGAGTTTGGGGGCAATTGCCGAAACGTTTAGGAATTGGGGGCCAAAAAGGGGCCAAAAACAAGCATTTTTCTAGTTTCAGGACAATAACTTGTGTGTAAGTGTATGGATCGTTCTGAAATTGTACTACAAGGTTCCATATCACAAAGGGAAAGCTGGGTTTGAGTTTGGGGGTAATTGCCCTAAACGTTTAGTAATTTGGGGCCAAAAAACACATTTTTCTAGTTTCCAGACAATAACTTGGTCCGGGTACACAGTTATCGTCCTTTGATTTTCGTTGTCCACGAATATAGTCCCTAGTGTGGACAGTGTGTTACTTGTCGATTTTTTTTATACCCCTTCCGAATTTATTTCTCCATGTTTTATGACTCAAATAGTAAGTAGGGGGGTGAAATGACACTGTAAAAAAATTTGGGTCATGAATTTTAAAGTAAAGTAGTGATTTGGTCCAGCTGAAAAATGTTAAAAATTAGCACATCGGAAGCTGTCAAAAGATTTGAAGACCCCCTTAGCATGAAATTGTCCATATTTTGAGTTAGAGCCGATGAAGTTTTCTATAATTTTGATATAATTTGTCCCAAAAGTAGTACAACACACTGTAAAAATATTATTGAGAAAGCGCAGGTGGGATTTTTTTAATTTCCATTTATTGTCTAAAAGAAATGCACTACGAAATAACTGTGTACTCGGACCTAAGAGGTGAAATCAGGAAATATAGAATCTGTACTTTGGCAACTTCCCTGAATGATTTGATGGTGTCAATTTATCAAATAGCATAAAACTAAAGGATTTAAACTTTTATTTGATAGAATTTCTGCAAAAATGACCAATTTTGGCATTTTATGGTCAAAATAAGCATTTCATAGCTTTTTCAATTTTGATGCATAAGTGGCATTCTGACTTTCTATCTGACAGGTTTTTATGTGTCAATATTTGTGTTTCTATGTTTCAATCCAGTTGTATTACTCATTTGTGAACTCTGAATCTACAGAAAAGAAGATTATCTCAGACAATATGCGCAAAATGTGTTGTATATATGATCCTCGTCTAACGCCCTGTTTGGATCAAGTTAAATGTGAGGAGCTTGGAACATAAAAGTTGAAGTCCATTATAAAGACCTCACTAAATTTGTATAAAAAGCACTTAACAATGTCTTTTGTACCTGTTTTATGTCACATAATACCTTTCTTTTCTTCTGTAGGATAGCAAGTGGTTCAAATATAAGCCTGTTGAGACTAAAATTGCATGCATGTTTTTCACTAAAAAGTGAAAAATCTTTGTATCAGACCATACTGTCTGCAAAAAAAGTTGAATGCAAGAGTCTTTTTGTGCTCAGATTTATTGTATCATGTCACCTGAGTATAGAAATGATAGAAAAGACACAAAATTTTATTTCATATAGCTTCAATATGCATTTTTAAATGTAAATATGTGATACGGCCTAAATTGACCCTAAATTATTTTCAGTCTTACTTGGCCTAAGACCCTTTTAAGCTAATGTGATATGTTATTTGTAAGTTTTCTTTCCATTTAAAGTACATTAAATACATATGTAAGGATTATTTATAACCAAAAAGCTTTACAAATTTAAAATTGCTGGAAAATATTACATCTTCATGTAAGGCCCCCCTTCATTGGAAAACCTCCATTTTTAGCCACAGGCTCATATAAATTTGACTTTTTAATAATTATGATAAGTCTGATGAATCAAATGAGTACTCTATTGCTTTTAATACATAATATATTATATATTAAGGCATTTCAAAAGTATTTTTTTGCAATATTTTAATTTTTTAAGCCTCAATTGTTGATAGTTGAAAATTTTCAATTTTAACGTCTAAATTTAACACTCAAAGTTCAATATAGAATTAGTCATATTGTCTATAATATATATCCTATTGCCATGAAACTTTGTAAGCAGTCTTATAATTTAATAAGCTTTAGTCATACCAAGTTTCATTAAGATTGGTCAACTTTTTCTACCCTATTAGGTCCGGGTACACAGTTATCGTCCTTTGATTTTCGTTGTCCACGAATATAGTCCCTAGTGTGGACAGTGTGTTACTTGTCGATTTTTTTTATACCCCTTCCGAATTTATTTCTCCATGTTTTATGACTCAAATAGTAAGTAGGGGGGTGAAATGACACTGTAAAAAAATTTGGGTCATGAATTTTAAAGTAAAGTAGTGATTTGGTCCAGCTGAAAAATGTTAAAAATTAGCACATCGGAAGCTGTCAAAAGATTTGAAGACCCCCTTAGCATGAAATTGTCCATATTTTGAGTTAGAGCCGATGAAGTTTTCTATAATTTTGATATAATTTGTCCCAAAAGTAGTACAACACACTGTAAAAATATTATTGAGAAAGCGCAGGTGGGATTTTTTTAATTTCCATTTATTGTCTAAAAGAAATGCACTACGAAATAACTGTGTACTCGGACCACTTGTGTTCAAGTGTATGGATCTCTCTGAAATTGTACTGCAAGGTACCATACCACAAAGGGAAGGCTGGGATTGAGTTTGGGGGTGATGAATCATAAGGGGGTTCAAAAAATTTGGGGGGGGGGGATTTTTTTTTTTTCTTTTTTTCCTTTTTTTTTTCTTTTAAAATTTTCCATTTTAAGTTGGTTATTTCTGATTAATATTTAAAAGCAAATAATAATGATATGGTAGGAGATACACACCAAACAGGATGTGTAAATTATTATATAATAAGTATTGTGCAATAGCAAGAAATTTTCAATTGCACAGTATTGCACAATAGCAAGAAATCTTCAATTGCACAGTATTGCGCAATAGCAAGAAATCTTCAATTGCACAGTATTGCGCAATAGCAAGAAATATCCAATAGCACAATTTTGCGCAATAGCAAGAAATTGTCAATTGTACAGTATTGCGCAATAGCAAGAAATATTTAATTGCACAGTATTGTGCAAAAGAAGATACTTCGTATAAATTGCTTATTTCTTGACCAATTTCAATGGGGTTTTATTCTTGAATTCTTGGGGTTCTTTAATATGCTGAATCTAACCGTGTATTTAGTTTTTGGATTTTGGGCCCCGTTTTTAAATTGGTCCACATTGAGGTCCAAAGGGTCCAAAATTAAACTTTGTTTGATTTCATCAAAAATTGAATTATTAGGGTTCTTTGGTATGCCGAATCTAACCGTGTATTTAGATTCTTAATTTTTGGTTCCGTTTTCAAATTGGTCTACATTAAGGTCCAAAGGGTCCAAAATTAAACTAAGTTTGGTTTTAACAAAAATTGAATTCTTAGGGTTCTTTGATATGCTGCATCTAAACATGTATTTAGATTTTTGATTATAGGCCCAGTTTTCAAGTTGGTCCAAATCGGGGTCCAAAATTAAACTTTGTTTGATTTCAACAAAAATTGAATCTAACCATGTATTTAGATTTTTGATTTTTGGGCCCCGTTATCAACTTTGTCCACATTGAGGTCAAAAGGGTCCAAAATTAAACTTTGTTTGATTTCATCAAAAATTGAATTCTTGGGGTTCTTTGATATGCTGAATCTAACCATGTATTTAGATTTTGGATATTGGACCATAATAGGTGAATGTCCAATTTAAAATTTTTAAGTTCTTAGACCACATTCATTCTGTGTTAGAAACCTATGATGTGTCAAATATTTAATCACAATCCAAATGCAAAGCTGTATCAAGCTTGAATGTTGTGTCCATACTTGCCCCAACTGTTCAGGGTTCGACCTCTGCGGTGGTATCAAGCTGCGCCCTGCGGAGCATTTTATTTGTTATTATCTTAGATATCATTATAATATCTAATATCTAATACTATTAATTATGATTTTAACCTTATTTTACATGATTTCCAAAGCATCAGTAAATACAGGTGAGCAACACAGGCTCTTGAGAGCCTCTAGTTTTCTTTAAAATTTTCCATTTTAAATTGGTTATTTCTGATTTATATATAAAAGCAAATAATAATGATATGGTTTGAATAGATAAATTAAAAATTTTTAAGTTCTTAGACCACATTCATTCTGTGTCAGAAACCTATGCTGTGTCAAATATTTAATTACAATCCAAATTCAGTGCTGTATCAAGCTTGAGTGTTGTGTCCATACTTGCCCCAACTGTTCAGGGTTCGACCTCTGCGGTCATATCAAGCTGCGCCCCCAGCGGAGCATTTTATTATTCTAGTGAACAACATTCGTGCGTTTAGGGGCATCGTCACTTCCTTCCCATGTTGAGCGAGTGGTTGAAAAAAATATGATGCTGTATTGCACGAATTATTTGGCAAATTAAATTCTTATAATTGACAATCAGCACTTCTGTTATTAGGGAATTGTGATTAATTACCTACGGAATAAACATTATTTCTAGTTTATCCTGCATAATGACGATCACAAAAACGCTTGATGAACTTGAATAGTGCAGGTATACAGGCGGTCCCCTCTATCTGGTAAATGACATCATAAAGGCGGGCATAATTGACCAACTTTTCTGGTGAAGAACATAACTTGAAAGTGGTCTATTGATATACAATATAATGTTACTATCGAAGCAAATCAATGACTTAATTGATTTACTCTTGTAGGAAACAGAATGGGTTTATCAACAGTATAAGCTTTGCTTGTTATTTCACTATGACCAGTTGTGTGAAAATTAACAACAGGTTTCCCTGCTTTCCGAGCATCAACTATAGTATAGGTGTAAAAAGTCATTGTGTAGGGACTCTGCATGATTGACGTCATTGTTACTCTACATCTTCCACATTATTTTCACTTTGCCATGTTTAAACATATTGGTAGTTAAAATTACCTCGACAAAAAGGTATTGCATTAAAAATTACCTGAAAGTATTCCTTGAATTCTGAACTTTTTATCTATGCATTTACAGACATTTGTAAGCATTATTTTTATTCAATCTTACCTTTTACCTGACAGTCAAATTATGAGGTTGCCCAAAACGGGTGTTTATACTAGGTTCAGATATTTTGTGCTATTTATAATCACATCAAAACAAATGGAAAAGGTTCAAGATGAAGAAAGGGTGGGTCAAACTCAATTCTTCTTGTGTTAAAAAAAAATGAATGATTTTTATGTTTTCAACATGATTTAACTGTTATTGTAGGACAACGAAGCTTGGCCTTTCAAAAATACAAGTTTTTTACTGATTTTAATTTGTTTAATTTTGTTTGTCTCGTCTCTTATAGGCTAGGGCATATCAAATAAAAATATACAGTTTTGATTTATAGATTCATTCAGGATTGATGCCAAGAATTGATTTTTTGTTGTGAACTGCTCATTTACCAATAGTTGTTCTTGTTATGACAGGCATTGTAAACTTTTATACATGTCTTGCATTTTCTTTGACAGACCAATAAGATACAGTTTAATACAACAGCACCTGACCAGGAATCAGGACAGTCATGTCCTGTTATGGAGCAAAAAGAAGATCCTGAAGGGAAAAGAGATGAAACTTGTGGGAGAGAGGTGGAAGATGGATTTGCTGGTTTGTGCAAGTAAGTATTTATTTAACCCTAATATATATATATATATATTTCAACCTAATTTGACTCCTCAAAATTCGAGAGTCTATCCTAAATTGAGGGAAATTACATGGCCTTCCAAATACTGTTTCGATTCCAAACATCACTGAAGAGACATCTGTCCCATTTTCGTTTCCACACTCCAACTTAAGTTTGCCTCATGCAAATTTTATGAAACTCATACATGAAGCTGAGAACCAAAGCTTGCAGACAGAGTTGAAATTTGGGCAGTGAGTCACTTACCGTTCTAAAGTTATGCCCCTTTATAATTTGGAAAATTGCAAATTGTTTTCGTTTCCACACTCTAACTTAAATTTCCTCATACACAATGGTAAAAACCAAAACTTGCAGACAGAGTTCGAATTTGGGCAGCAAGTCACTTGCTGTTCTAGAGTTATACCCCTTTATAACTTGAAAAATTGTAAATTTATTCGTTTCCACACTCTTTCTTAGGTTTTACACATCCAAATTTTATGAAACTCATACACAATGCTAAGAGCTACAACACTCATACAAAGTACGAATTTGGGCAGTGAGTGTTTTTACTGTTCTAGAGAAATGCCCCTTTTTAACATGGAAAATTGCAAAGCTTGAGCAGGTGTATTTGTGTCCTCAGACACATTCTTCTTTTATTTTATCCATATTTGTAAAATGAAAAAATCTGTTATAAGGCAACATCTTAGTTGGAAATGCTCCATACTTTTCAATAAGCCCATTATCCAGTTATGTTAGGGTCCATTTGTTAGGGAGCCTTTTTATACGACCGTAAAAAAAATTTTGTGGTCATATATTGGTATGACGTTGGCGTCGTCGGCGTCGTCCGAAGACACATTGGTTTTCGCACTCTAACTTTAGTTTAAGTGAATGGATCTCTATGAAATTTTACTACAAGGTTCAATACCACAAAAGGAAGGTTGGGATTGATTTTGGGGGTTATGGTACCAACAGTAAAGGAAAAAGGGCCAAAAATAAGCATTTTTGTAACTTCCAGACATAACTTGTGTGTTAGTGTATGGATCTCTCTGACATTGTACCACAAGGTTCCATATCACAAAAGGAATGCTGGGATTGATTTTGGGGGTAATTGCCTCAAAATTTTAGGAATTAGGGGCCAAAAAAGGGGCAAAAAACAAGCATTTTTCTAGTTTCATGACAATAACTTGTGTGTAAGTGTATGGATCTTTCTGAAATTGTACTACAAGGTACCATATCACAAAGGGAAAGCTGGAATTGAGTTTGGGGGTAATTGCCGAAACATTTAGGAATTGGGGGCCAAAAAGGGGCAAAAAACAAGCATTTTTCTAGTTTCAGGACAATAACTTGTGTTCAAGTGTATGGATCTCTCTGAAATTGTACTGCAAGGTACCATACCACAAAGGGAAGGCTGGGATTGAGTTTGGGGTAATTGCCCTAAACGTTTAGGAATTTGGGGCCAAAAAGGGGCCAAAAAACACATTTTTCTAGTTTCCAGACAATAACTTGTGTTCAAGTGTATGGATCTCTCTGAAATTGTACTGCAAGGTACCATACCACAAAGGGAAGGCTGGGATTGAGTTTTGGGGTGATGAATCATAAGGGGGTTCAAAAAATTGGGGGGGGGGGGATTTTTTTTTTTTTTTCCTTTTTTTTCTTTTTTTCCTTTTTTTTTTCTTTTAAAATTTTCCATTTTAAGTTGGTTATTTCTGATTCATATTTAAAAGCAAATAATAATGATATGATAGGAGATACACACCAAACAGGATGTGTAAATTATTATATAATAAGTATTGTGCAATAGCAAGAAATTTTCAATTGCACAGTATTGCACAATTGCAAGAAATCTTCAACTGCACAGTATTGCGCAATAGCAAGAAATCTTCAATTGCACAGTATTGCGCAATAGCAAGAAATATCCAGTAGCACAATATTGCGCAATAGCAAGAAATTGTCAATTGTACAGTATTGCGCAATAGCAAGAAATATTTAATTGCACAGTATTGTGCAAAAGAAGATACTTCCTATAAATTGCTTATTTCTTGACCAATTTCAATGGGGTTTTATTCTTGAATTCTTGGGGTTCTTTAATATGCTGAATCTAACCGTGTATTTAGTTTTTGGATTTTGGGCCCCGTTTTTAAATTGGTCCACATTGAGGTCCAAAGAGTCCAAAATCAAACTTTGTTTGATTTCATCAAAAATTGAATTATTGGGGTTCTTTGATATGCTGAATCTAACCGTGTATTTAGATTCTTAATTTTTGGTTCCGTTTTCAAATTGGTCTACATTAAGGTCCAAAGGGTCCAAAATTAAACTTAGTTTGATTTTAACAAAAATTGAATTCTTAGGGTTCTTTGATATGCTGAATCTAAACATGTATTTAGATTTTTGATTATGGGCCCAGTTTTCAAGTTGGTCCAAATCGGGGTCCAAAATTAAACTTTGTTTGATTTCAACAAAAATTGAATCTAACCATGTATTTAGATTTTTGATTTTTGGGCCCCGTTATCAACTTTGTCCACATTGAGGTCAAAAGGGTCCAAAATTAAACTTTGTTTGATTTCATCAAAAATTGAATTCTTGGGGTTCTTTGATATGCTGAATCTAACCATGTATTTAGATTTTGGATATTGGACCATAATAGGTGAATGTCCAATTTAAAATTTTTAAGTTCTTAGACCACATTCATTCTGTGTCAGAAACCTATGCTGTGTCAAATATTTAATCACAATCCAAATGCAAAGCTGTATCAAGCTTGAATGTTGTGTCCATACTTGCCCCAACTTTTCAGGGTTCGACCTCTGCGGTCGTATCAAGCTGCGCCCTGCGGAGCATTTTATTTGAAAATTGGTATTTGCTGCTTCTCCCCTAAGCATAGGGCATTTTTTAGTAACAGCAGAGACTGGTCAGCTTGGAGGCATAATAATGTATCTGTTTAGGATGAGATGTCTTCCTGCAGACTGTTACCTTGTAAACTAGCATGATAAAAGTTTGGCTCAAACTGTAGGTCTAGTAGAACAAAGTATTCATGTCATGTTAACATGTCTTTTCCCAATATGTATGTAAAATTTGCCACTGGATGTTTAACACCAGTCCAACCATTAATCCATGATTTTTATTAGAAGCTAACAGATTTTCGATTTTTATGAAATATCTTTTTTTATTTTAGAATTCATTACAAAGAATATTTAGTTAGCTTAATAAACAAAAGAAATGTGGATCCTGTGGCTATGATGTCTGTAGATGCAATAAAGAGATTAATTGAAAGAGAAGAAAAGAAAGTACCAGAAAAAAAGGCAAATGAGGCTGACGCAAAATACCGTAAGCGCCTAGAACAGGTATGTTCACAATGCAGCATAAGTTATATGTTTACAATTTGATATATCTTTATTAAGGACAATACTGAACATGTATTTGTTCCACCTAACAGAAGTTCCCCTGGCAACTTTTCTTATAAACAATGCCATAATATGTGTTCCTGTTGGAACAAATATTTTATACCCTTTATTCCATTAGGAACTTACACTGTAATATTTGATCGAGTGGAAATAATATTCCAAAATATTTCTTTTATTAAGAACTTCTATTTCATGACACACCTTCATTCTTGACAATTAGAAAAACTAGCATTGATAATAATAAAGCAACACCTTTATTATCGCCAAAAATTACACCTGTGTTCTATCACAATCTTTTTGCCTGAGTAAAATTGTGGCAGTTAGTTAAAAGAAGAACTTTCTATAGAATCATTTTATTATATGATGTTTTTTTATTATTTTGATGATAGCCTTCTCAAAAATAAAAAAAAAACAGCATTCAGAATTATTAGATAGAATTTTTTGTATACAACTGAGTTCACAATACTTTATCTTACATTTTTGTCCATTATACAAAATTGCAATAATAAATGCACCCAAAATTTCTGAATTTAATGTAACTGAAAAATATCTACCCACCTTAACAATTTGTTGATCTTTTTGAGCTGAAAACTTACATAATGAATAACATCATATGGGGAAGTTGATAATTTATTATTAATCTTACTGTTCAATATAAAAATCAAAGAAACTTGTATTCAGAAAGAGGTGATAAACTTTACTACCACATGTCAAAAGTCATTTATCCATTTTTCTTCAGACTTCCCTTAATAGACAACACAGTGTGGTTATTTGTACACTATTTAAAACATTATTAAAAAAAAAACATTATTATAAAATTATGGACACATGTTCTTGTGTTGTATATTTTCAGTGGTCCAGTTTATAAAGTCAAATGATGTGACTTTCAAACATTTTTCAGCAAAATAATTCAAAGTTTATCATGTCTAAGTAATCTTGTAACTTCAAGTCACTCAATCATTACCCCCCTTTGGGTATGTGTTTTATATATTTGACCATTTCATAGAATAATGCTTGTTTTACAATTATCGTAATGTTTTTTTTCTATTTGCAGTTTATTAGAGAAATTGAACCTTTAAACAGACAGGAGTAAAACAGAACTATCATAGCTTCTCAAAATAATACCTTTTACTGGCTTGTCTTCAGAGCACACTATAATGAAGCAGCTAGTTTTGTGAAATACTTTTATTGCTAAAAGCTTAACTATGGTACTTGATCAGTCTTGATGATATATATATGTGAATATAAAATATGGTAATTGTGTCCATTAACAGTTTGCTGTATGTAGCTGTTTAATGTTGGTTTTGTACAAATAGACATCAAGCTTGAATGAAAAGGCTTTACTTCATGATTTAAATAGGATATGACTGGTTCATAAGTTAATGAAATTGAACATCAAGAAAAGGGGCATAAAATAGAAGTTTCAAAAACTTATACCTTTTCACGAATGTGACCTACCGAATTAGACTATTTACCGGATTTGTAATAACATAAGCAACACGAGGGATGCCACATATGGAGCAGGATCTGCTTACCCTTTTGGAGCACCTGAGATCACCCCCAGTTTTTGGTGGGGTTCGTGTTGCTTAGTCTTTAGTTTTCAATGTTGTGTCATCTGTACTATTATTTGTCTGTTTGTCTTTTTATTTTTGGCCATGGCGTTGTCAGTTTGTTTTCGATCTATGAGTTTGACTGTCCCTCTGGTATGTTTCGTCCCTCTTTTATAACAAACCATTATATCCCTCCAAAAGAAGAGAAACATAAATTTTTCAAAAAGTTGAGCCTTTGTCATGCAGAGAATTTATCAATGAACATTTTTTATAAAGCTTACCTATAGAACAATTACCTATACAATATTAAAGTTTTTGAGACAAGTTTTCAATCCAGTAATACTAGTTTTATGTATAAAAAAAAGAAGATGTGATACAATTGCCAATGAGACAACTCTCCACCAGAGACTAAATGACATAAAATTTAACAACTATAGGTCACCTTAGATTTCAGCAATGAGCAAAACCCATACAGCATAACTATAAAAGGCCCCGAAATGACAAATGTAAAACAATTCAAACGTGAAAACTAACGGCCTGATTTATGTACAAAATAATGAACAAAAAACAATTAGATAGACAGCAACAAACAACAACCACTGAATTACAGGCTCCTGACTTGGGACAGGCACATAGAATGTGGCAGGGTTAAACAGGTTTGAACTTTGAAGGTGCCGACTCTCCACCTAACCTGGGACAGTGGTGTAACAGTACAACATAAGAACAAACTATAAACATCAGTTGAAAAAGGCTTAACTCATCAGATCGATACAAAGCAGAAATACATCTAACAAAAACACAGACCTGAGGTGGCAGTGTACTTATACATCCCCACAATAAAAAAGACACTACAGAGTACTCAGTTACTGACTGCTAGTTGATGTGTTCCTATTAAAAAATGCATTCCCTCCTTGCTTCTAAGAATTTAGAAATTTTGAAAAGCTATGTAATTTTGTAAGAATATTTATGTAATTGTATTCAAAAATCAAGATGACACTTATGAATTACTTAGCTGTAAATTGTTATTGTCTTTAATTAATGCTGTTATGATTTGTTATTTATTTTATAGATTATAAATATGAATGAAAGAAAATAAACCACCAAAACCTTCATTGATTTTCTTAAAATTTAAAATGGCAAAAAAGTTGTCAATAAAGTTTCTCTAGAAGTGCCTGCACAAAGATAACTTAATATATTTTATTTGCTGATATCAAACTTGTTCCAATAAGATTGTACTAGAAACAATCATTGACAAGGTTCCTGGCATGGGACTGGTACATGAAAATGTGGTGGGGTCAAACAAATTTTTTTCTGACCATAACTAAGTCGAAAAAAACCAAGACAGGCATACTGATTCTGGCTGCGTCAACAATTTATTCAGTTTAAAGGGAACCACTAGTGGAAGTCCATGATATTTGGTATTTACATTGGCACATCTCGTTTCCATGGAATTTATTTGGCTTACCCCCACAGTCATGTTCTATTGCCTTTAAAATGATTGCTTAGTTTTCATGTTAAAGTTTGTAACTAGGTCGGTTTATGGGAACAACATGTGGTAGGTCAATGATATTTGGTATGCAGTTGTATTAGCATTGGCACATCTCATATCAAAGGAGATTTTTGTTTTTTCAACAACCCTTCAGTCATGGTCTAATGATTTTAAAAACTTTTGCTTAGTTTTCATGTTATTTGTGATAAGTTCAATTTAAGGGAAGCACTATTTTTAGGTCAATGATATTTGGCATGCAGTGGCACATGCTATTTCAATGAAGATTGTTTGGCTCCACCCCCTCAGTCATAATTTATTGACTTTGAAACTGATGCATAGTTTACATGTTACAGTTTGTGATAAGGTCAGTTTAAGGGGAACCAATAATAGTAGGTCAATGATATTAAGTAAATGTGTGAGGCTGATTAACATTTGCATTTATCATTTCCACTAAGGTTATTTGGCCCTGCACCTTCAGTCATGGTTCATTGACTTTGAATATTTTGCATAATTTACATAATAAAGTATTGCAATTTCAATTTAAACATATGCATACAATGTACTATCAAAATAACATAATAAGGGTGAGACATAATCTCTGTACAACACTTATTTGAGCTCTCAATACTTTCCCCTTTTTGATTAATCAATAGAATAACCAAAGGTATTAAAAAATGCTCAATAAAAATCAGTTCATGGTACTTAACATGCTGACATAGAAATGATGCCTATATACTCTTATATCTGCGGCTGTACTTCTAAGTAGATTTAATGAAACAATATCATGTGAAATACAGAAAGACACCATCTTGTGCAATGCTCAAAGTAAATTTGTACAGAATTTCAATATAGAAAAATATAAAAGAATTATTTTAGTCTTCTTTCAAACCGTAAATAAAAAAATAAAAGGAGATATGGGAATATGTATATGAGACAGCAACTCAACGGTACAAATAACCAAAAGAAATATAAAGAGCATTAAAGAACCTTTGTGAGCATGCTCACATACCCCACGCCCCCACATTGTCACTGGACAAACAAAATCTCACCAGATTCCTAAGTTCAAAGACTCATAATTCTACAAAAGTCAACTGATAAAAATTTTCTTGTGGATATGTACATTTACATATTATGTCCTCATTAACTACAAAGTTTCATGAAATTCTGTTGTGTGGTTTCAGAGGAGTTGCAATGACAAACTGTTGCAGTAGTATATTGAGGCCAATAAGTTCATAGGGGCTTAACTCCTATAAAAAAAACTGAATCATAATTTCCTGTTGATATGCACATCTACATAGTATGTCCTTATTAGTCCCCTACCGACGAAGTCGAAGGGGACTTTAGGTTTGCACTCCGTCCGTCTGTCCATCTGTCCTTCTGTCCATCTGTTCATCCGTCAGTCCGGCAAATCAGCTTTCCACACTTTTTAGCTCACCTGGCCCGAAGGGCCAAGTGAGCTTTTCTCATCACTTGGCGTCCGTCGTCCGGCGTCGTCCGTCGTCGGCGTTAACTTTTTACATTTTGAACTTCTTCTAGAGAACCACTGAATGGAATGAAACCAAACATGGCATGAATGTTCCTTATGAGGTGCTGACCGAGTGTTGTTACTTTGTAGCGGATCCATCATCCACGATGGCCGCCAGCGGGGACTTAGTTTAACATAGGACCCTATGGGAAATGCATACAAATGTCTTCTTTTAGAGAACCACTGAATGGAATGAAACCAAACATGGCATGAATGTTTCTTATGAGGTGCTGACCGAGTGTTGTTACTTTAAAGCCGATCCATAATCCAAGATGGCCGCCAGCGGGGGACTTAGTTTAACATAGGACCCTATGGGAAATACGTACAAATGTCTTCTTTAAGAGAACCACTGAATGGAATGAAACCAAACATGGTATGAATGTTCCTTATGAGGTGCTGACCGAGTGTTGTTACTTTGAAGCTGATCCATAATCCAAGATTGCGGCCAGCGGGGGACTTAGTTTAACATGGGACCCTATGGGAAATACATACAAATGTCTTCTTTTAGAGAACCACTGAATGGAATGAAACCAAACATGGCATGAATGTTTCTTATGAGGTGCTGACCGAGTGTTGTTACTTTAAAGCCGATCCATAATCCAAGATGGCCGCCTGCAGGGGACTTAGTTTAACATGGGGCCCTATGAGAAATACATACAAATGTCTTTTTTTAGAGAACCACGGAATGGAATAAAACCAAACATGGCATGAATGTTCCTTATGAGGTGCTGACCGAGTGTTGTTACTTTGAAGCCGATCCATAATCCAAGATGGCTGCCAGCGGGGGACTTAGTTTAACATGGGACCCTATGGGAAATACATACAACTGTCTTCTTTTAGAGAACCACTGAATGGAATAAAACCAAACATGGCATGAATGTTTCTTATGAGGTGCTGACCGAGTGTTGTTAATTTGTAGCGGATCCATCATCCAAGATGGCCGCCAGCGGGGGACTTAGTTTAACATAGGACCCTATGGGAAATGCATACAAATGTCTTCTTTTAGAGAACCACTGAAAGGAATGAAACCAAACATGGCATGAATGTTTCTTATGAGGTGCTGACCAAGTGTTGTTACTTTGAAGCCGATCCATAATCCAAGATGGCTGCCAGCGGGGGACTTAGTTTAACATAGGACCCTATGGGAAATACATACAAATATCTTCTTTTAGAGAACCACTGAATGGAATGAAACCAAACATGGTATGAATGTTCCTTATGAGGTGCCGACCGAGTGTTGTTACTTTGAAGCGGATCTGTAATCCAAGATTGCCGCCAGCGGGGGACTTAGTTTAACATGGGACCCCATGGGAAATACATACAAATGTCTTCTTTTAGAGAACCACTGAATGGAATAAAAGCAAACATGGCATGAATGTTCCTTATGAGGTGCTGACCAAGTGTTGTTACTATGAAGCTGATCCATAATCCAATATGGCTGCCAGCAGGGGACTTAGTTTAACATAGGACCCTATGGGAAATACATACAAATATCTTCTTTTAGAGAACCACTGAATGGAATGAAACCAAACATGGTATGAATGTTCCTTATGAGGTGCTGACGGAGTGTTGTTACTTTGAAGCTGATCCATAATCCAAGATTGCGGCCAGTGGGGGACTTAGTTTAACATGGGACCCTATGGGAAATACATACAAATGTCTTCTTTTAGAGAACCACTGAATGGAATAAAAGCAAACATGGCATGAATGTTCCTTATGAGGTGCTGACCAAGTGTTGTTACTATGAAGCTGATCCATAATCCAAGATGGCCGCCAGCAGGGGACTTAGTTTAACATTGGACCCTATGGGAAATACATACAAATGTCTTCTTTTAGAGAACCACTGAATGGAATGAAACCAAACATGGCATGAATGTTTCTTATGAGGTGCTGACCGAGTGTTGTTACTTTAAAGCCGATCCATAATCCAAGATGGCCGCCTGAAGGGGACTTAGTTTAACATGGGGCCCTATGAGAAATACATACAAATGTCTTTTTTTAGAGAACCACGGAATGGAATAAAACCAAACATGGCATGAATGTTCCTTATGAGGTGCTGACCGAGTGTTGTTACTTTGAAGCCGATCCATAATCCAAGATGGCTGCCAGCGGGGGACTTAGTTTAACATGGGACCCTATGGGAAATACATACAACTGTCTTCTTTTAGAGAACCACTGAATGGAATAAAACCAAACATGGCATGAATGTTTCTTATGAGGTGCTGACCGAGTGTTGTTACTTTGTAGCGGATCCATCATCCAAGATGGCCGCCAGCGGGGGACTTAGTTTAACATAGGACCCTATGGGAAATGCATACAAATGTCTTCTTTTAGAGAACCACTGAAAGGAATGAAACCAAACATGGCATGAATGTTTCTTATGAGGTGCTGACCAAGTGTTGTTACTTTGAAGCCGATCCATAATCCAAGATGGCTGCCAGCGGGGGACTTAGTTTAACATAGGACCCTATGGGAAATACATACAAATATCTTCTTTTAGAGAACCACTGAATGGAATGAAACCAAACATGGTATGAATGTTCCTTATGAGGTGCCGACCGAGTGTTGTTACTTTGAAGCGGATCTGTAATCCAAGATTGCCGCCAGCGGGGGACTTAGTTTAACATGGGACCCTATGGGAAATACATACAAATGTCTTCTTTTAGAGAACCACTGAATGGAATAAAAGCAAACATGGCATGAATGTTCCTTATGAGGTGCTGACCAAGTGTTGTTACTATGAAGCTGATCCATAATCCAAGATGGCTGCCAGCAGGGGACTTAGTTTAACATAGGACCCTATGGGAAATACATACAAATATCTTCTTTTAGAGAACCACTGAATGGAATGAAACCAAACATGGCAAGAATGTTCCTTATGAGGTGCTGACCAAGTGTTGTTACTTTGAAGCTGATCCATTATCCAAGATGGCAGCCAGCGGGGGACTTAGTTTAACATAGGACCCTTTGGGAAATACATACAAATGTCTTCTTTTAGAGAACCACTGAATTCAATGAAACCAAACATGGCATGAATGTTCCTTATGAGGTGCTGACCAAGTGTTGTTACTATGAAGCTGATCCATAATCTAAGATGG